GCAGGGAAATCCGCAGACGCTAGACCGTTTGGAGAAAGGGTTGGCTCAAGTTGGCGTGGAAACGGTGAAGATCATCTTGAGTGAGATTTTTCCACAGAAATTGGCCATGTTCGACGATGTCGACGCTTTCGTGCAAGTGGCCTGTCCTCGACTTTCAATTGACTGGGGCTATGCGTTCGAGAAGCCTTTACTCACGCCTTACGAGGCCATGGTTATGATAGGCGGCGACCGCTGGCAGGATGGTTACTATCCCATGGACTACTACCGGAAGGACGGCTACGGAAGGGGAAATGTGCCTGCCAGGGACTAGTCTTGTGAGTGTGAAAGTGTGAAAATGTGAAAATATTTGCAAGGTCCAACTTGAGCAACACAACCGTCAAAAACAGAAGTATAGTTCCCGTAAAGGCAACACTGGGGGGTTCGGATATGTACCAGCCACCCTTTGCCACGAATTGATAAAGGACCTGCTTGTGTTGCTCAATTGCAGGCAATGTATCACTGGACTGTCATTTTCTGCTTCTTTGCCTCGAGAACACCTGTTTTGTGGAACCTGGTTTGTTTTGTGGAATATGGTTTACGAGCGTTATGAGAGTGCGCTTTCGAGTCAATTGTTTACGGAAAGTTAGCAATTCCCGATGTTGGGCTGCGTACGGTATTTTGGAAAGATTCTCCAGCATTCAGCCGCTGAGCATATAAGCCGATCTCAAAGTGATCGTACGTGGAACTTCCTAGAGGAACTACATTCTGTGGCTACAGAATGAGGCGAATTGAGTGAAATGAATTTCATTTTAGGTTGTTTTGTCCACCGAGGCTTGTGGACCGATGTATATAGGTAACGGAGGAATTTTTCGGAAAACGCCTCTTGCAAGGCGTTGGGGTTATGTGCCTGCTCTCTCACCGGATGTGTCTCAGACCCAATATGTACATTTCGAGCTCTTTTGCTTTCTGACACAATAGAGCCTCGGCGAGGTTAAAGTTGCCTACCACAAAGGCTAGAATTATACCGATTTTTTTTCTCGACGCCCCTTCTCTCGAGACACTCGGCGGTCGCCATGTGGTTCCGGCTTGGCACATTTTTGCATCACCTTGTCTGGCATCCCAATAAGGTGCCATTGTGGAAGGGAGAAAGGAAGATCAGGGACAATGGGCTGGTGAGACATCCCTGAGGGTCGCAGCCGTTTCAGGGAGCAAGATGACCAATCTCAAGATAAGCAGAGGAGCTTTGTTCCATACGTCGATCGGCAATACGGATAACAGTGACCCAACCTGTTCAGGAGTAGAATTTACAGATCAAGGCACCATAACCAGTGGAGGTCCCGTCTTTTTCGATACGGCATTGTCTGGCGGCTAGCCCAATGTGTCACCGAGGAGGCTCGCGCCGCACACAATGCTGTGCTATGCATGGACGAAAGTCACCGGCATATCCAGGCTTTGGGCCTCAGGCGAAAGAGAAGGTTGCGGGCCCGCTACCATGTTTAATATTGCGTTCGCTGGTGCGTGGTGCATTTGCAGAGCGCATTTTGGAATGCTTCGATTTCATCCCTATGCGCTCTGCGATGCAATGCATGATAGACTAGTGCACATGCTTGGCCCGAGGCCCCGCCTTCGAGGCTCCATCTTTTCTCATGGGTTCTCGATGCATTCACCCCCACATTATTATCCCTCGAGGTGCAGCACCCTCGACTCACCTCGATTCGGAAATGCTGCCTCCACGGGTCCGCTTCGCTGCATGGTGAAACCAATTGCTCCAATTTTTTAGCCTCTTCAGCCTCCTTGAACAACATTCTCCACACCTAACAATGTTGCTATTTCAATCGCCAGCCAGGTGAATAATCCTTCTCCCAAGAATTTCTCCACAATCTCCTTGAAGTAGCGGTAGAAACTGGTAAATCCGACCATCACTTCCTCAACCACTTCCGACACAATACTAGGCAGGTTGAGTCTCATGAGGCTGTTCTGTACGTCGAGGAGTGCGTTGGGAAGTACCTCTTGCATCGTGTCGTTTGCGCTGGCAATGGTGGTTTCGTTAAAAAGTTTGTTTTCTTTAATCGCCTCGTACATATCCGCATCGAAGATTTCGTCATCCACGGGGCAGATCATATTGACAATGTTGTAGAAATCGAAAAGCAGGCATTCCTTGAGGAGCTTCTCCAAGTGAAATTGCGTTACCTCCTTCGTAATTCCATGCATTTTCCGATTGAGTTCCAAGACCTTGTCGTTGAAAAACGCAAGTGGCATGATTTTCGAGAGTACCAAATCGAGAAAATTCTGCTTGAAAATAAGCACCTCCTCTTTGTTGAGCGTCTTGACAACTCCGGTCAAGTGATATTCGAAGATTTCGATCGGCTTGTCCACCACCAAATCCAAAAATTCGTCGTGTTCTTTTTTTGGCAACAGGAGAATCGTTTCACTCATCATTGCATCGAGAATTGGCAACAATTCGCTGTAGAAATTAAGAATCCATTCGGGAGGTTGCAAATCGGCGGACAAGTCCATTTGCGCCGAGTTCAGCGACGCCACAGTTGCCAATCGATTGCTCACGGTAGTGGTGATTCGGGACCTTGCAGCACCGAGAAGCGACTGCAAGATCTCTACGAGCAGGGATGCAAAATCTAGCTTCTCGAACATCAAAAGATAGAGTTCGAGATTAGTGTAGATCTTGTAGATCGTCGAGAGCTTTGTTTCCAGAGACATGAGTTGGTCAATCGTGGCTTTGACGGGCCGGCCCAATGCGCCTAGAATCCGGCTCATCATGTCCGATTTGGTCTCCTTGAAATCATCTGAGTCGTCCTGAAACAAACCCTCAAGGATCTCTGTTTCATTGACCACGACAGAATGCACGTACGCCAATATGTCAGCAACAAACCGGACAGGATCATGCGAGGTGTAATAAACAGGTCTGGGTTCCTTGGTGGTGTGGCTAGTGGTTGGCTTGCTGTTGGTTTGAGCTGCAAATTCCTCAAGCACTCCCGAAATTCTGGAGTCCACATATGTGTCTATCACCGCTGCATATCTGACAGAATTGGTCTTGAGGTACTTCATGCATTTGTGCAAGGTCTCGGTCCGAGATTTATCGTTCATCAGGTAAAGATTTGTCAAAGACCGGTTGCAAAACGTGAGGATCTTATTGACGGCACGCTCAATGAGCTCGGTGGATTTTGCCATGACACCTTGGCCTAGCGTAGGGTCGTCTAGCGCTAGAAGGATCAGACACTTTTTGTTGATTTCCTCAGCACGAGACAAGGCAGTAAAGAATTCGGCATTAATATCGCCAGAAGTGAGCAAATGCTGCTCGTACTCATTGAGCGTAAAGGTCCGTTTGAAGTTGGCCAAGAGCTCTTTCTTGATCTTGTAACCTGCTTGTTTGTTCGTGAGTTGGTGAATGTCTTTTGATATGTGGGAAGCGCTCTTCTGGTCAGACTCAAGCCTCTGATTCACGTCGGAAACAAGCAGATCCAAAGAGGCGACACGATTGCCCAAGTTTTCAAGCTGACGTACAACCTTACCGTAGTCCGCCAATGCTAATGTGTGGTTTCTGATCAAATCAGCTTCGACTTCACCTCTGGCGTTTTTTCGAGCCACAGACCCCATCACGCCAGGATCCGTAATGACGGAAATGTCCGTATTCTTGCTCTCTAGCAACCCAAAAAGCTCTCTTATCTCTGCATCCGTCAAGGAAGGGTTGAGCGCTCTAGCCAAACGTTTCGATAACGCAGACACTCTAGAATCGGCCTGGACCTCCACAGACTCAGTTTCGTGATTTGACTCCAACAGCTTCAAGGACAACGCTGCGTATTTTTCAGCAAGATGCGCCTCTGCTGCCTCTGTCTCGCCCTCAACATGCTGGTCTTTCAGCTTCAAGAGAGATTTGAGATTTGAGAGGTTCAGCATGAGCCCCAAGTTCTCAATGTGCGGCTTGAGGGGAAGCAGGAGGGACGGTTGAGGCAGCGGAAGATGCTCATCGTTTGAAAACGACTCGAAGGTAACGAAATCCATCGTACTTGTTCGATGAAGAGGTGGTAGCGAGAAGTGTATCTGTTGATATGGTGCACGGGTGTGGTCCCGTCGATCTGAGACACCCACTCCGTTTTGGCCATGAGGGCCTGAGGGGTGAAAGAGGCAGAGGGGGTGGTTTTCAGAGGGCACTACAAAAAAGGATTTTGGGTTTTGGTGACGTGGCGGTTGGAGGTGACGTTGTGGAGAACTATGTCACGTGCCGCATCACGTGCAGGGAGCCGTTTGCAACTTCCTAGATTCCCAATCTACGCCGACCCAGAGAAGCTTCTTTCCTCAAAACTGCAACACGGTGAAAATCGCCCGTTGCCCGATGGCTGAGGTTTGCGCGGTGGCATTTCCGCTGCATCGTCAAGCCTCTAAACAAGCCCCAGGTCTATGTGAGGGGCGATCAACTTAGCCACAGCACTCGGGCCCGATATGGAATAGTGCCAGGAACGGGGAAGCACAAAAGCATTTTTTTTTATTGCTGATGCGGGGCGGTTAAAGCGGCCGGGGTAAGAGTTTGCTTGGGAATGGTCGACAGCATGTCTGGAGATGGAGAGATAAGGCTTTTGAGGAACATGGGGTATCTAGACCTAGGATTAGTTGCTGCGCGGAGAGCAAGCGTGGCGGAGCGAAGGCTGGGTTCGAGGGTGGAAGGTTTGTGGAAAGGCAGGGTGGACCGGTTGACAGGAGATTTTTCCTGTTTTTGGTTATGAACATCTTTAGATCTTAAGAGAGCTCGTTAGTGCTGCTTGACACTTAGCCTGCCGATCCTCATGTGTCTTGAGGGAGGACCTGGCTACATCCTGCAGGACACACAGTGGAGGTTGCGGCAAGTGAAGGGTGCATTGTGCAGAGCCATGGCTAGGGAATAATACACACGGGTTCATTGTCCTCATTTCATTAACACTATTTCAACAGAGAAAAATCACATATAGTCGCTGTAGCGTCGCTGTAGCGTGGGGCTCATGTATACGGGCCTGCCCGTGGGAGCCGCTTTCTCATTCCTGGTCGCTTCCCAGACCTTGGCGTAGCCTTTGAAGGCACTTGGAGGCATTCACAATATCTACCATGTCAGCGTAGGACATTCTCAGCTCGTCGTCTCTTTTCGCCGCCGGACGGTCAGGCAGCGACACGTTCGTCAGACCCAGCGACACCAGCAGAAATGACGGCTGCGACAGTATACTCCCCAGTCTTTCCGTCTTGGGCCGGGTGGAGTAATTATCGAAATGGGTGGAGTGGGGGGTTTCGTTGCTGCTGGTGGAGGAAGCCAGGTCCGGGGCCAGGGTGGGGGAGATGGGACACAGTTCTGAGCCAGCAGGCGTGTCGAGATGGAATTCGTCACCACAGGCGTCGAAGCGGAGTTCGCCAAAGCCTGGGTCGTCTGGACCAAGACAGAGGTCGGGGAAGTCGGGACCAAAAATGGGGACGAGTTGGTACCGGATGTAGTAGCAGAAGCTTCTGGCCAAGCGCTTGCACAAGCTGTGAGGCACCCAGGTGCCCTGGATCTTCAAGAACCCACCACGGACCCGCTTGATGTATGGGTGCAAGGCCTGAGGGGTGGACTCGAGAAGCTTCACGATATCGGCTTTGGCATTGGGCTTCACGTGGACCACGCCGTTCTTGTTCTTATGAAGCGCATGTTCGTGAAGAGCAGCCCTCCACAAGCCCGTGAGATGCGTGTAGCCTGTTTCGTAGTCCCAGATGACCCATTGCGTGGCCAAGGGGTACTCGTAAACTAGCAAGTGGGAACGGTTGGCCCCGAGAGCAGAAGCACTGTACTTCTTGGTGACGATGGATGGGTAGACGTTTTCCTGGAGATCATGAGCATGTTGTGGAGGAACCGCCTGCAATGCGTCCTGGAGCAGCGTGACAGGGTACTTTTCATGGGAGTCCGGGAAAAGGCGCTTGCCGTGCTTGTACGAGTCTTTGAAGGAGTCCTGGAAGCGGAACACCAGGGTATGTGGTTCCTTGCGCTGCTTCTTGCGGGGCTTATGGTCTTCGACAAAACGGTAATCGTGGGTTCGAGGAGCCGCAGGAGGCTGGTTCAACGAATATTGCACGAGCAGAGGGCCCGGGTAGTACTGTGGAGGGGGAAGCTCATAGTAAGGTTCCGGCAAGCGGGCCCACACTGGCACGGCCGGGGTGAGCTGGGGGATGTGCTGAGGCGGAATTGAGTGCTGGGAAGGAATTGAGTGCTGAGGAGCTCTGTAGTAGACTGGGGGAAGAGGCCTGTTGGGAGGAAGCACATTTAGCGAGGAGGTGAGGTGGGACACCGGAGGAAGGGTATTTGACATTTGGGGACGGCAGCACTAGGCAAGGACAAGGGTGGAATGGCCGGCGGCCTCAAGTATATAGGAATAGCTAGTTGCTGAAAGGTGGGTTGCTCGAGATCTAGGCGGGAGCAGGGGGCAGCAAGAGAACGGCTGCGAAAAACTGATGGACGAGACCCGGGGACCGGTTTTTTAAGCTAAAAGGCAGCGGCTAGATGTGCAGGGGAGAGTCCGGCGGGAGGAGGCTGTCGATCGAGGATCAATGGGATCTGCCCAAACAACGATAGACCAAATGTATAAAAAAAGGTGGATGGAGACGAAGGGAGACGGGGAGGTGCTATATATATATGAGGGAGGAGGAGGATTGGGGGGTGGGGCTAGTGCCGACGACGTAGGCGCATGCAGCATGTACGTCACACGCGCAAGGTGGGACCAGGTACATACGGAACAGTTGCCATGGCAGGGTACGGCGGAGTGGGAGTTTGTAGTAGCAGCAGGTTGGTTAGGAGGAAGCGACCCAAAAACCAGTGCGACAGAGGCCCATGCACATGCGGGTGGGTGTGCGGAGTGTGTAGACGCCGCAGCATCAGTCTGTCGGGCCTGTGTGGGGCCGGCCACGGTGCCGCAGACATGCATTGCAGGTACGTTTCGGTGGCAGTCTTCCTTGAGACAGTGCATGGACGCGCAGACGGCCCGCATGGGCAGTCGCATTGGAGGCCGCATGGGTGGCCAGGAGAACCCGCGCAGGGAACACCGAGAGTTGTGCAGGGCGTGCACACAATGCAGATCTCGTAGCATGGCAAGACGCACAGGCGGCATCGGGCTGGAGGTCCCGATCCGTTAGCCTCTTCCGTTTTGTTCCACGCCTAGAAACCGCCTGTTGCCATGGCAACTCCGCCAGGCTATCCCACACATCGATCGTCCTCCCACCTCGAGGGCTACGATCCTCCTACAAGCGAGATCCGCAAGGCAAGGTGGCGCCGTGTAGGGAAGGCGGGCCCTCCTCTAAATCAATGCATCTACTCAAGGCAAGCCCATTTCATGATACCTGCCACCTTCTGAAATTACAACCAGCAACCGCCAAGCTCCTCACTGCCCCATGCGCTCTGCAGCCTGATAAGCTAGTATACCCGGCTTGCCTCGTAGTGGGAGAGCCATGCTGTAGCTTTAAGGCAAGGCCCAATGCGTGCGCTTGCAGTAACCCACAGGAGATGTTTATTTCCAGAAACAGCTGCGGCGTGGGACTCGGTGGGATTGGGTGGTGGGGGTGGTGGATGTGGTGGTGGTTATGGCGGCATCGGCTTTATTTTTGACACAAGAGACCCAACTTTTCGATGGCAGTTCCGTGTGTCGGTTTGTTTCTCGGTGGACGTTTCACGTTTGCCGTGGGTAAATGAGACAAACGGTCAATGGCATCTTGGCCCATCGGGCTTCTCGACGCGCGCATTGTATGAACGATCTGATTGTTCTGCTGTTGTCAGGCGGAGTTGTCACTGCAACCTTGGGGTCTCCGGGTATTAAGAGCGTTTGCGGAGGGAGGCTGGCGACACTTCCAGCATCGATGGTTGTAAACGCTCACCTCGGCGTTACCCAGTTTCACCGTCATACGATCCGTTTCAGCCCCTGCGCTGGGTCGCTTGGGCTGCGTCGAGCGTTGCAGAGCGCTGCGTGGTTTCATCAGCCGCATTGTCCTCTCACCGCCACGGGTGGCTTGGGCAGTGCACAGTTGCCCGAACAAGAAGGAGGTCATGCACCTCGGCTTCTATTTTTTAGGCACCAACGCCGCCGCTTGTTAAAAACAAGTCCGGTTGCATCTCGGCCTACTACTTGTTTCGAGACATCAACAAGTAAATGCACCCCACGCTTGATCTAAGGCGTGTCGATCCTTCGCGGTCAGGGGCATCTGCTTCTCGGGCTCTTTTGGGACGGCCAGTTGATAAGATTTTTTTTATATTTTTTTATTTTTTTTTTTTTTTTTTGTCTTTACCTCGCATTTTTCAAATCCCTCTCGCTATCACCACAACTCCACCCCCACAATCCCCATAACCGTTCCATCATCATTCTCCCAACTCAGGCCCAAAATCCCCTCGGTCACTCAGCCCAGAGCCTATCTTTGCGTGGCCATGCCTCATCCCTGACTACGCCGCCTTTGTTCGTCGATCTTTGATTGTCTATCTCATATGCCACTGCCGTTTATACTTGTGATACCTGTGGGCATTTGTGCCTGACTTCAAAACTCCCACCGTATTTAGTGGACCCTGCAATCGACAATGAAACACCTTGGGAAAGATCGGCACGTTCCTTTGTCCCAAAAAGCCGGTGCTCTACTCCATCGGCTGCTGAAGTTCACGAGCCGGTCTTGATGGGGAACTCGTCTGACACAGTTTAAGCCGATTACTATTTTTTTCTTTTTTTCGTCCAAGCGGCCAACTTACTTTTGCATCCTCCACCAACACCCATCTTCGAAATATCGGTGGCCTCGCATCTGTTGATGGTGGAGGGCGCCATGTTGCATCACCTTAAATAAGTCGAGGCATTGTCCATGTGGCAGGTTGGCAGGTCATTTACGACTCCGATGATAAATGCGGTGCTTGGCAACATCTCCGGTGGTTACGGCTTTTTGACTTTCTTTTTATTCTAGACTGCTCGAGCCTCGTCTACTTCCACGCTTCAGCTTTGTGACAAATACCACCCGTCGGATTTGAACAAATAACGCCTGATTATTGTTCGGATTTATCTCCGACCATTCTTTCACTTCAACTTGTCTCCGACAGCGTCCAAGAATTCGGTCGTTGTCACATAAGACTCACGGTCCGTACGGCCACATGCCAATGCCAAATCCTTGGTCATGATTCCGTCCTCTTGCACAAGGCCCACCGTGGCCTGCTCCAACTTGCGGGCAAACTCTACCACTTCTGGTGTATTGTCCAATGTGCCTCTTTGGACGAGGCCTCGGGTCCAGGCGAAAATCGACGCAATAGAGTTGGTCGACGTTTCCTTACCCTGCTGGTGCTGTCTAAAGTGTCTGGTGACAGTGCCGTGTGCCGCTTCACTCTCATACGCTTTTCCATCAGGAGTCATCAACGCAGAGGTCATGAGGCCCAAGGAGCCGAATCCCTGAGCAACAATGTCCGACTGGACATCTCCGTCGTAGTTCTTCAAGGCCATGACAAATCCTCCCTTGGACTTGATCATCTGCGCCACCATGTCGTCGATCAAACGGTGCTCGTACCACAAGCCCTTGGCCTCAAACTGCTGGGCGTATTCGGCATCGTAAATCTCCTGGAAAATGTCCTTGAAACGGCCGTCGTACTTCTTCAAGATAGTGTTCTTTGTAGAGAGGTACAAAGGCAAACCCTGTGCCAATGCCATCTTGAACGACGAATGCGCAAATCCTCTAATGGACTCGTCGGTGTTGTACATCGCCAACCCAACTCCGCGGCCCTTGTAGTCGAAGATCGTTTTTGTGATTTTATCTCCGCCATTGCTGGGGGTAAACACAACCTCCAACTTGCCTGGCTCCTCAATTACCAAATCCGTAGCTTTGTATTGGTCACCATGGGCATGTCTTCCAATAACAATGGGTTTTTCCCAGCCTGGAACAAGACGAGGAATACGGGGGATGATAATTGACTCCCTGAACACAGTGCCGCCCAAAATGTTTCTGATGGTTCCGTTGGGTGACAACCACATCTTCTTCAAGTTGAATTCCGCAACTCTAGCTTCGTCCGGGGTAATCGTGGCACACTTGACACCCACACCGTACTCCTTGATGGCGTTAGCAGCATCAATGGTAATCTGGTCCTCAGTCTTGTCTCTGGCCTCGATACCCAAGTCGTAATACTTCAAGTCGACATCCAAGTATGGGTTGATCAACTTGTCCTTGATTCTTGCCCAAATGATTCTGGTCATTTCGTCACCGTCCATCTCGACGATGGGGTTCTTGACCTTGATCTTCTGCAACGCCGCCCGGGACGTTGAAAACTGGCGAATGTTACGAATCATGTTGCACGGCTAGTAGTGGTGAGGTTGGTCAACTTATACTATCAATTTTTTTCGGCCCGGACCTCACCGCGGCTTCCCGGTATCGGCCTCGATAAGGTGCGATTAGTCACCGACGGAGTCAGAATATAAGTCAGCTTCGAAAGATTGGGAAAACTTTCATCGATTCGGGGTTAGATGAATAGCTTGGAATTGTCGTTTATGCCTGTTTCACTGTGCACGTGATGAGGGTGCCTGCCGTTTTTGCAGCCATGCGACGGCCAGGTATAAAAGCAGGTGTCTTTCTCCACCATTTCTGGAGCAGCTACTCTCTTTTCATGACGAGAGATAAATGTTTTGTTTGCAACTGCAACGCCTCCAGCGATTTGGTCTTCACTGCCAGATATCGCTTATGTGGCACCTGCCAGAATGAAGGTTTGTGAGACCCTGGATGGTCAAGTACCACACTAACCCTAGTCCAAGCTCGGTGTGTTCAGTGCACGCTTTCTGCAAATGAAGTGAATAGAGAAGGGGAGCAAGAAAGAACACCTCCAACTATAGAAAATCTCGAGGTTCCCAAGGACATGTCTCTATCTGTCGCGCTCAAGGTGGTCAATGGCATGCTTTCCGAGTATTACTGCCCCCTAGACTCATTTCGACAGATTGCAGTCAACGAAAGAGTATGCTCTAGGGCTCCTCATACGGGCATGTCGAAGGGAGAGAGCTTAATGGCTGAGCTCTTGTACTTACGTGTGGAAACTCAATCGTTACAGCAGAAGAATCGCCGATTGAAACGACAGCTCTTTTCTCACTTCCTTCCCAGACCAAAGAAATACAATATCGACCGACTTCCCCAGCCTACGGGAATAACAACATCCCCACGTCGACCATCACGTCCACCCCTTCAGCCTTGCAGACTTCCGCCTATACGCGTCGAAAACATGAAACATATAAAACACAGGAAGTTGCCTCCTGTGAGAAAAGTCTTGTCAGACATACCTCAGTTTAGTCAGTTTCGTCAGGATGGCTGCAAATTTCCTCGATCTACTGAACCTGCACGGCCGCATATGGTGTTGAGGAAAAAGAGGGCTTCAAGCTAGCAGGTGTGAGTGACCTGCACACGCACACGCCACGGCCTTAGCTCACCGATTTTTGTGAGAATAGATTGTTTCTCCTACCTATCTTCTTTTCATCAGCCACCCCAGCTGCCCCGCTAAGTATCAGCTAATTCTGTGCTATCCACTCGATTGCTTCGTAGACACCGCATCATCATTGTGTGATTCTTCCAGGACTCGTTCAGGTCGGCCAATTTCGTGTGACAAGCAACACACTGTAATAATTGTAACATGAGTGACGAGCCCTTCAGTGCGGAGTACTTCCAGCACCTACTATCCTCGCTCACTCTAAACTCCAGGGCTTTAATCACAGAACTCACTGCATTGGCTGAACGCCACATCGACAAGGCTACCATCATTGTGTCCCTCATCGAGGAAAGAATACTAAAGATTATACCGAAGTACAAGCTTCATACGTTCTACTTGATGGACTCCATTGTCAAGAACATTGGCAATCCATACAACTTGCTTTTTGCCAGGAATTTGCACAAAATCTTCACAGAAAGTTACCTCGTGGTTACAGACACCCTAACCAGGCAGAACTTGATCAATTTATTCAAAACATGGCTCACGGGTAGAACGACTACTGGAGCTGAGCTTTTTCCACACGATGTGCTTCTGAAGATTGAGCAATTCATCATCAAGGCGACATCCTTGAACAGCTCCGGTCAGGAAAACGTAAGGATCAGCAGAGATACGCTTCTAAGAGAAGCCAACTACTTGCTTCAATATGTCATCGCTATGGATGAAGATCTTGAACGTTTCGGACAGCATGAAGAGGCCTTCATTGATGAAGCCAAGAAGGCGCAAATACACCTGTTCCACGGCGTCAGAAACAAACTAATTTTAATCATCAACAGCATAAGTGAAACAGTCATGATGAGTTCGAAAATAGATCTTGAAAAGATTAAGGAGCCCTACGCAGCAGAGTTGCAGCAAGTCAGAAGAGCTCTTGACGACCAAAGCTTCCAACAGCTGGCTCTATTCAGAAGTGTGTTGGAGAAGAAGCAGAGTGCTTTGGACAAAGATCTCAAGAAGATTGAAATAACTCTAATTCCAAAGCAGTTTGACCCTCTCAAGGTGTTGGCGGGAGATGAGGATCTAGCATTCGATGCGTTTGTCAAAGGATGGGGCCTACCCATTGTGAAGAAGGAAGAGGCTGTTGCAATGGAAGAAAAACAAATGACGCCTCCCGAGGTCCAAGAGGTTCCAAAGGACGATACGTCTCTTGCTGCACAACTAGGCCTCAACGTCACTTCCTTCAACTTCTCGGACTCATTCTTGGGCAGCCCGAAGAACGAGATTACTCACATGTCCCCATCACACTCATTGAACGAGAATAACGACGACGATGATGACGAAGATCAGTTTGGCTACGACCCTGAAAAAATGGTTACTGACACCGATTTCGAGCGCATTACAGGCAACCCTGTTGAGACATCAGAGACCAAGCCTTTCAACGGCAAGTCGAGCCTCAAAAGACCCGGTGTTGCTGAGGATAGGATAGTGAAACGTGTCAGATTCGATGTATAATGTATAGATACAAAACAGCTACAATGTCATGTCACGAATAGATTTGATTCTAGTATATACAGCCGGCCACTAAAGCATTAGGTGTAATGATGATGGAAATGAAGACACTTAAAGGTTACCGGCTCTCTTCATGTGAACGTATGCAGTGATGAATGGGAAGGAGAAGAAGAAGCCGAAGACACCCCACCACTTGACACCGAATGGGATCTTGACGTTCTTCACCTTGAAAGGCAAGTTGGAGTAGACACCAGTGGCAGGCTCACCGAACACCTTGTTCATGGCTCTGGCAGAGGTCTGGAAATTTCTGGCTGGTCTGGCGGTTCTCAATCCCAATCTGGCGATCATTATTTCGTTGTGTGTGTTTTACTTGAGTTTTTCTAAAATCAAGCCATTCGCTGCTCATAGATGATAAACCCGTACACCCCCTCTCAGCGTAGCCTGAGGGTCGCACCACTCCAACGCTTCCACGGTATTACCGCGCTCCAATTGGCTGGTGCTGCACCCATTGCTCACAAATTTGTTGTACCACTTTTCCAGTGCAGCCTGTAGATAAGCGCCCATTGGTTCTCAATTTCAACAACCATCTTTCAATAAGAAACACATTACTACCAGCATGTCTGCCATCGCTCCAATCACCGGTACCTTGAGAAGAAAGATCATCTCCGATATCACCATCGGCTTTGGCTGTGGTTTCGTCTTGGCCGGTCTTTACTGGCAATACGAGCACAAGCCTTTGGTCCAGAAGAGAGAGGCCTTCTACGCCGAGTTGAAGGCCAAGAAAGAGGCTGAGGACTCTGTCTAAACAGCTCGGGAACAAAGCGTGCTCAGGTCATCGACTTATTCCATTCTTTTGCATCAATAAACGTTACACCATTTGAATGCCTGTAGTGCATCGGCTCATTGATTGGCCACGCTTATGAGCTTGTGGTTGCTCACAATTCCACTTGTTAAAACCAAGAGTGTCTTATTCTGTTTGGCTAATTTGCCTTGTAAGTACCGTAACACGGTGATCTCTCCCCTTGTGATGCCTCCCACGAATACTGCGAGAACATACTCTGGTCTGGAGTTCTTGGAAGCCTCGCTCTTGCGGTTATCCAGATCATCACAGATATTCTCATCGATTGTTTGGCCTCTGAACATGGCGTCCAAGTTGAGCTTCTCCCAATTTGGTCGACGGTATACGTTGTTCACGGGTTTGTACTTGAGGAAATCACGAAAGTAGAGCGCCTCGATAAGTCGAGCTATCAACAGCACACTCGCTGAAGGATATGCAAATGATGGGTTGGGGTAATCATAAAGAGTCTCGATGATAGGCTCCTCGCCCTCTTCTTCTAATGGATGTAGATTCCAAAATTTGCTGATAAGCGTGTACGTCGATTTGTAGACATCTTGACCGCCGGTTATACCCAAAGAGTTTATGTCATCATATGTCTTGTCAATAAGCGTATTGTCGTCTTTTCCATGGGTATCTGAGGTCGTTGTGGTAGTGGTTTCGATCTCCGATTTGCCAAATGTGAAGCCACTAAAAAAGTCAGTGCCCTTGTTGACTGCTTTGATAATTTTCAAATCACGCATCTTCCTGAAAGCAAATGCCGCTTCTAGACCAAAGTAGGAGTGGATCTGCTCTTCCACAAGCGTAAAATCTTTAGGCTTAAAGCCATCGTTGATCAACGAGATAAGTGCAGCGCAGCTCAAGGCCATCGACTCCGTGCATCCTTGATTAATCAAGTCCTGAAATTTGGCAATCTGCCTTTTGTAGTCGAGATTAAAAATCTCGTTTTGTAGTTCAAGCCACCATTCACGAATGTCATGCTTGAAATTGCCCTCCCTGTTGTTCTTTATCTTTTCAAGAATTGCTTCACTTAAAGCGGTGTGCTTTCTGACTAATTCTTGTTTCGAAGTCAAGTTGCCCAAGTTCTTCACAAGCTCCTTGATCTCCGAGATTTCCTGGAGATTGTCTTTGTTGCCAAGTTCCAGCTGAATGAAGCGTGCGAGTTTATTGAGCTTCATGCCAATAGAGGCGAAATTAAGGTCTTTGATGTTCTCGTACAATTCGTCATTGAGCTTGTCTCCCAGCTCTAAAACGTTGTTTAGTTCGTCCAGCGTACCAAACAAATCATCAAGTAGACCCAGGTAGTTCATGTGATCTAAAAGGAGCGGAAAGTAGTCTAGGTTTCTCTCAAGAATGACCAAGTCGGTATTGCCTCGAAGTTTGGAGGTGTAAAATTCTCTCTCATTAGGACTAAATCCCGATGCAAGGTACTCCGATAGCTTGTCGTTCATGAAAATGTTGGAAAGAGCCGCTGAATGGTCTCCTTTGGCAAATAAGTTCTTGAACTTTATGGTCTCGTTTGTTTTGGTGAAGTTGACGATCTGAACTAAGGCATCCGATAGAAGCGAAAGTTGTGGAATAGGATTTTCAAAGTACAGTTGAAGGCCACCCAATTCCATGTTGAGTGTAAGCACGAAGTCTTCGACACACAAGGGGAGGGTTTGCCAGTTCATTAAGCGAACGAAGGAGTTGATACGGATTGTATTCTGAGTCAAGTCGACATTTGTAGCATTTTTGAATAAGTCGTCTGGAGGAGATCCCAAAATCTTAACGAGCTCATAGTAAAAAGCACGACCGAGATCCTTCACGATGAGACTCACCTTCACTTTTTGACGACTGAGGTGCGGCCATATCTTGCTGAAAAGGTCGAGACTGACATGAGTATCCTCAAGCACAACAATCAAGCCACCGTATCCGGACACATATTGCAGCACGTCGTCCGACGAGGCTAATGTCTCGAGCCAGACCAATCTATCGAACTTGCCTCTGGACTTGAGCTCCAGAAAGGAGGTGAGGTAGTTCAACTCCTGGGAGAGCTTTCGGCTCAAAACAAATAAATTGTCTGATGTGTGTATCTTTCTCAATACATCAAAGAGATTTTCGGTGGTTTTTCGATTCAATGACGCCCCCAATTCATTGGGTGAGTTTGTCATGGTAGGTGGTGAGTGATAACAAGAGGTGCAGGAAAATCGCTACTAGTGAGTGGTTGCAAAAAGCGTATATCGTCTAAAGATGGGCCAGCTTTTCGAGCCCGTTGAAATGAACAAGACCTTCCTGAATGATGGTGGCTACGTGCTGGCCGGCCTCGTTGTACATCTCAGCCTCTAAAAGTACCCTGTTGTTGGTCAAGCGCACCGCCTTGAACCCAAAGGCTACCCATTGCGTGCAATCGAATTCGGAGTCGTGGAAGTAGATGACGTGGTCGAGCGAGACGGAGAAGTAGTGGCCCGTCTTGCTCAAATTGACCGTAGATATCCTCAACACTCTCGCGAGGCGGGTCAAAAAGAGCGAGTCCAGCAACACTCCAAGCCCGACAAACTGGAAAGCAGGGTCCTTGATTTTGAGCGACCCGTCGCCCAAACGAACAAAGAACGACATCTTGCGCTCTGTCACAGGCACGCGGTCCTCGTATCTCGTGTCCTCTAGCGACACAAACTGATGGGGGATTTTGTGGTAGATGTATCTGTTTGCAGAGCGCTTGTCTACTGGCATGTCTTCTTTGCGTTCTTCCAACAACCAGCGGGGGAGCGGAGTCTGGAAAGAGAATGGTTTGAGCTTCATTGGCTCAGCGTCTTCGCTTTCTGGATCGTATTCCTCTCCCTTGGCTGCAGCTTCCTTCTTCAACTTCTCCTGTCTCTCTTCGTAATCGTAGTATTCCCGCTCCGCCTGCTTGAACGAGTTCTTCCTGGTCAAGGAAATATTCGCAATGTATCTGATCAGCTTATCCTGCCACGCCTTGACACTGCGGTTGCAGAAGGTCTTTCCGTTGGAGACCTCCTCCACAGTCCATTTCACCTTCTGCTGGTCACTGACACTTTTCACGAAATGAGAGTGAAGCGAATGCGGCGTGAAACCTTCGGGGGCCGTCTTGATCGCAGCGAGAAGCGCCTGGCCCGCCAAATTGCCTCCATAAACACCTTTACTGTTTTTCTGGGGTTTGGTCAACTTGTGATTCAGAATGAAAACGTGAACGTCGCCCTCGGGCCGGCCCTCCTTGATGCCCAATGCCTCCTCGAAATTGGACATGTGCTCGGCGTAGACGTCTGAAAGTGGAATTTGCTGTGTTTTACTCATACATCCACCAGCAGACTTCCTTGTGGTATTTATCTCAGGCTGGGGAATTATGCCGGCTGGTGTACCGCGGTCCCGGCGGGGCAGAATGAAAGGACCGTTTTCATATGGAAGTGCACCGATAACAATGACGGCACGAGGCTGAAATTCGGATTTACTTAGTGGGCCACAGTGTGAGTTAAGCTTTTTCTGGTGACGAAAAGATCGTGAATTTGGTGCAACCGAGGTATGGATTAGTGGTGAGAAACGATCTCGAGTTGCGGCTCCGGAGCTAAGCACCGGAGAAGAACATCGGCAAGTACCCCGAGGACTTTGCCGTGATGCCGTGGGGTTTTCGAGATGAACGTGGGTTTGTGTTTTTTTAGTTTGTACATTTCGGCCATTGTAGTGGGAACACGTACCTGGAGATCGGGCACCGATGGAGAATATGTGTTTGTGGGTCGGCTGCGAAATGTGGGGTCTGACTTTTTCACTTGAGCCTCCTAAGGCTACAGGGCCAGCCTTCAGTGTGATAGTAAAAATTTGGAGCTTGTAAGGAGGGGAAGCAGGAGATATGATTTTTCACAGTTTGGCAAATTTTTCTCATCGCCAAATGTCCATTTCTGAAAAGCCTAGGTATGCGTATCGGCTAGATATTTTTTGTGTACCGATGGACCGTTGAGACAAAAGTGCTCCACAGAGTAAAAGAGAGACAAATTTTGTAAACCCTAGTATCTGCACCTACCCTCCTCACACACTATAAAGACAAACGCTTCCTCCCTGGTTTCAATTCTCAATCCGAACCTAGGAGACCATTGATGCAATCTATTCTTGATGCACTAGATACATCTTGCATCCTACAGATTCCGTCCTCACAGCTGGACCACTCTAGGCAGCAAGTGGCCCCCTGAGCCCACCAGTATAACCACTACATTCCTGAAATGTTGCTCATTCCATTCATCCCTTCCACCATTTTCCTCTAACCACTACATCTCACTTGCTCTTGATTATGCAAGATCTGGTTAGATCTCGATTGCGTTTTGATGCAAGTTGTGAGCGTGAGGCCCATTCATTCAAGGCTGCCTAGAACCGTCTTTTTTTTCTTAGTACGGTCATACCGATTTCGAGCGATTTCCCGGTCCCTTGTCATTGTATAGATCTCATGTATTGATATGTTAGCCCCTTGAGCTGAATCTGATCTTGCGTCCACGGGAAATGTGGTTTGCAGCCATCGATGTCGCTCTCACTACCCTACTATACAACAACTCCACGTAGAGTAATCTGCATAATTCGTAAAATAAATACACCCTAGAGCTTGTACGAAGCACCCTTCGATTTATCGGCAAGTGGAAGCGGCACATACGTAAGGGCTTCCTGGGTCACTGTGGCTATGTGCTTTCTGTTGCGACCATAGATACGCACCGCACACAATACCCTGTCGTTCGACAACCGCTCAAAGTTATAGTCCATGAACAAAAAGTCTGTAGGATCAAAGTCGTTGTCATGGAAGTAAACCGTGTGGTCCAATGAGACTCTGAAAAAATCAAGAGCACCTTTGGACATGAGAGGAATGCCAAGGGCTCTCACCATGGTGACCAAGAAGTACGAGTCGGACCCAAAAGTAAGATCAATGTGCCTCTGCTTTGCTGGGTTCTTAGCCAATTCGAGACGGTCATTGACCTTGAAAAAACCTCCGTATCTGCGGTAAGGAATCTCAAGAGAGAGCTCGTCCTCCTTTGGGTTGTTTCTCATAACCTCTGGGGGGAGAACAGTCAAGAGGTTACCATTGGTATGCTCAAAAGATGGAAGCTCATCAAGACGGTCCACGTACTTGTCAAACCAAGGGTGTGGGCTACTGGTGAACTCCAAGGGTACCTTTGTTCTAGGGTGGTACTTCTTCTGCTCGTCCAACTCAGCAAATTCCTTCTTCCTCTTGTCAATCAGGTTGTTTCTTGTGAAAGATGCGATCATAATGTAGCAAAGCTGGTTCGTGTGCAGCTGGTACGTCTTCACCAATCTGGAACAATAGTTCCGGCCCTGTGACGTCTTCTCTATTTCATATCTCATCTTGGACTCATTGCTTCCGGCCTTGAGGAAGTAGGAGTGGAAGGAGTGTGGAGAGAATTCAGGGTCGTCAATTGAGTCATAAGCGGCCAGCAAGCTCTGGGCAGCAAACTCGCCTCCATAAACTCCTCTAGCACCTTCTCTAAACAATTCCAACGGGTATTTTCCCTCGAACTCCGTGTCCAGCTTCTTCACCACGGAAAACTTCTCTTCTAAGCGACAAACGTTGTCGTTCGCGTAAAGCTCTTCAAGACCCATATGTCTAGTGTAAGTATATGTAAGATTTTTCCGACAGAAGTTCTGCTTTTTATATTTTCGAGATGCGTACTGGAGACCGAGGTTATCAGCTTCCTCATGCGCTTGAGGCTGGTGGTGCACGGGTGTGATGACAAAGTGTGGAGAGCTTCTATTAGAATTACTGAGATTTGCTGGATGTTTCCTGCGCGCTACATTGGTATTTCAGCCTTACTATTGTTCAATGTGCTAGATTACTGCTGGCTAAATTCTGTGCTTGTTCGGAACGCCAGGACGCATGTAGGTGAGTCCCTCTTGGATGACAGTGGCCACGCAATCGCCTTCTTTGTTGTAGAAGTAGCCACGGACTAAAGCTCTGTTATTCCGCAACACCTTGAACTGATAAGTCAAGGTCAACCAGTCCTTCACGATGTTGAAAGCTTTGAAGTCATCGCCATGGAAGTAAAGGTGATGGTCGAGCGACATTGCGTTGTAGTGGAAAATATGCAAGGCGTTCAATGTGACGTTCATGATATTCCTGGCATCCTTATCTTCGTCGAAACTCTCATACGGATTGTCCACGGTGGGGTTCCAATGAAGGTGCAAAACACGAGCCAACGTCGTCAACAACGCTGAATCTGAAATATCTGCCAACCCGACGTAGTTGTACTTGGGGTCTCTCATCTCATCTTTGCTTGGCTGTTGGAGCCCGCTCCACACAGTGATCCACCTTTCGGCGGCCCTCAAGTTGTCTTCCTCTGGGGTGAGGTTGTAGTCTACAAACTCCGGTGAGAATGCATTCCTGACAAAGTCGGTATGGGTGATCTTCCGAAGCTTGCTTGGATCAGGGTACTTCTTGAACAAGTGTGGAGGTGGATGCATGATGTTTAAGTCGCCCGAAGTCACCTTGGCGCCCTTCTTCTTGAGTGAACACAATGCCGTGTAGATAATCACATCCTTTTGGATCACCTTTATCTCCCTCATGCAAAAGGTCTTTCCGTCGTGCAACTTTGTCACCTTGAACGTGTAAGGAATCTTGTTGGACCCAGCCCTGATGAAATGAGAATGAAATGCGTGTGGAATGAAACCTGGAGCCGACTCCATGGCCACCAAAAGCGTCTGAGCACACGTATGGCCTCCGTAGACACCTCTAGCTCCGGCAATCGGAAGTCTCAACGGATGAGCACCGACCCAGGTGTTGTGGTTGACCTTGATTACACGGAATTCCTCCTCGAAATCGCCAGGCTCATTATCCAAATTAGACGGAGGAGCGAGTGACATTGAATGCTCCGTTTATGAGTTGTGGAGCGGTGCAAAGACGGCTATTTAAGAAAGCAGACAGACAAGGTCCGAGCACCCCGCACTGGTTTTTCGAGAGAGCGTTACGCAGCTTTAGAATCACGTGCAGGCGGCATGTGCGGTTACTTGGACCGAGATACTTCGATCTGAGTGTGGTGTTCGGCCCATAGAATAAACTTCTGCCGAGTTCGCCAAGCTCTCCTCAATGGCGAAGCTTGCTTTAATCCGACTTTATTTGTGTGGCTTAGTTTAGGAAAATTCAAGCACCGTGGTAGAGTTCGAGGCAAAATTAAGATGTGTAGTTCAACAATTTATATAGCCATAACTCTAGCTGAACTTGTTGTGAAAATCTTTGGAAATTTGACTTACCTCATCGGTTTGCAAACGGCGGGAATGCTGGAGGGCCGCAGTTCTCGAGGGAATCACGTTAGAGAGTGCGATTTCAGGTTCAACTTCTTGTGGCTTGGGTAAACTTTCGTCAACTGACGAGATCAATCCATTGATAATCAGGTAGCGTGGCGGGAGCACCAGCTTTTTGGTTTTCAGCTCGAAATGACGCTTCTTGAAGGCAAAGCCATCATCCCCATCATCATCAATTTGACCTGCTGCCAATGATTTGAGTCCTAGAAGCTGCCTCTGCTTTTCCGTAAGAGGTAAGTCAACGCATTGGTCCTGAGGCCATATAAGTCTCACGATGCTTATGACAATTGCGATTATAAAAACCCACTGGACGTGGCGAACATGGGGCCAAACTGTAGATATCCAACTTTGTTCGCTATCCACATAGCGGGCCCATGCCGCATGCTTTCGAAGTACTTGCGAGTACAGATGATTGAGCTGGTAAAGCTTGTAGAAGTACTCAACGAAGAGAAGGACAAGATGGAAGCCCACCAAACGAAAGATGTTGGTGCACATTGCTTTGAAGATCCTCTCCTTGTTGACTTGCCTGCTCAATGCAACCTTCATCACTGGACTCATCCACTCGCCTGAAGGTGCTTGTGTGGGTGCATCCTCGTCGTCGCTGAGCTCGTCGTCATCTCTGTTGTATGCTGGTTCTTGTTGTCTGATGATTTTGTTCTTTGCAGACTGTGCAGACTTAGGTGGAAGAAATTCCTGGGGAAGAATGTTTCTGTTATGATACAAGGGTTTGTAGAACACCTGTCCCTTGGGTTTGTGGTCGACTTCCAGGTTGAATAAATTATTCTCTTTCTGTTTACTGCTGAAGGGGATTCTGGCCCTAGATGCTTGGAGAGATGCTTCGGACAAGGGCAATAAATTGCTCATATCATTGAGCTGCGCAAATTGTGATGATCGGCTAAGCGGAGCATTTTGTTGTGCTTGTGGTTCACTTTGTTTGTGTGATTGTTGGTCTTCATTGATCTCATGTAGTACCAGGTTCACATTGGCATTCGGGAGGCGCTTGAGCGGAGTTGAGAACGACTCATTATTAATCCCGTCAATAAGAGAGCCCGTTCCAGAATAAAATCTCTCAGATTCTGGAGATCCAAACATATGGGAGCTGTATTTTGCTTTTGGTTGAAGACTGTTTGAGTGAGAGCGAGATGTCTGCTGCGCTATTTGCAGGAAAGGCCATGTAAGAAGGGCCGTGTATCAACAGTCAAGACTACAAAGAGGGTATTTTATAGGGATTTTTCTTTCATAATTGAAAATATCTATAGTGCAGCTACAGAAGCTCATTTTAAAAATAAATAACTGACGTCAACCTTTGCCAGCAGAGGTCGTCGTTTATGCAGAGAGATGGTTGCAAAATGGTTCACTTCAAAGGGTATAATCATCCCGAAATGGTTCAAACCCTTCAAAGTTTTCAATATCCCCGATTGGTACAATTGTTGGTCTTCCGTGAGCACATTGGGTGAAAAGGCGGCACTTGCTCAACTCACTCATCAAATGATGCATTTCCTCTAGTGTAAGCTGCTCTCCAAACTTGATGGCATCTTTGCACGACTTCGTAATCAATGAATCACGAATTGGGGTAGGAATTTGTTGGATTGCCATGAACCAGTCTTGTGAGGGGTTGATATCGGTGTTTCGTTGTTCTAGATCTGACACCCAGCCGATCATGAAAGACTTCAACGAAGAGGTATCTTTGGCTTTGGACATAAGAATCGCTGGAAGGTGCGTAACATGAACGCAGCTACCCTCAATGGTAAAACCAATGCCGTACTCCAGAAGATATTGCCGGTGCTTGCTGAAAATCTCCGAGTCTTCCCGATTTATGTCGAGAGAAAGCGGCTTATCGCACTTCACCCGCATGTCGATAAACGGATCTTGAATGTCTTTCAAGAAATCTCGAAGAATTTGCTCGTATCGGATACGTTCATCGCATGCGTGTTGGTCCACAATGTACAAAGTGGCCCGGTTCACAAAGAGGATGAATCTGGACGACACTTGGTTTACTATTTGATAATCGTCTAGGAAAATCTCATTTGTGATTTGGGAAAGCCTGGGAGAGTCAGGTGCCGATTCGGGGGATGCAGTTAACAGTGACAATGGAGAGTCTGTACCACATGACCTGGGTAGTCTGGCTCGTTTCCGTGGAGTTTGTGGGACGCTAATACCACCACTAAGTCGATATGATAGAGTTCGAATGATAGCACCTTGGATCGCCTTCGTAGCACGGCCATCGAAACTGTCATCTTGATCTTCACTCCTTAGGAGCACAATGAAAATTGGATAGCCTTTGACAGACTTCCCAAAATATCCCTTCACTGACGGGTACATAAATTTCAGGATGTAATTTGATATTCCTCTTCTTTCAGAGCCTCGTAGGCAGACGGATCTCCTGTTTAGGAACACGAACTGATGGCGACTGTTCTGAACAGGCTCCAGTGAGATGAACATTGTCACCTTTAATCCACCTTCAATTCCTTCAATGGTTTGAAAATCTCTTTTGCCAAAGAAAGCAGCGTAAGCATTGGTCAAGTCTCCACATTCACCGGTATCTGCGATCTTTTTGAAACCCTCCAGTCCATCGTTCACAGACAATCTCACCCTGGCATCAATTCTGTATGCTAATAGTTCGAATAACTTAATTCTAATGGACTCCATCATATTCTTGTGGTTCTGCATTGCAATTTCCCACCGCACGGGAGTAGAACCAAATAAACGAGTAGCCATAACGACTGTGCCATTAGTCGAATAGTTTGGCTTAAAGAACCTTTCAAGTGTCAGAACCTCTAGCTTGTTTTTACTTCTGAAGGACTTCTTGTTCCACTCTTTATCCTGTTTCCTCCTCGTCAGTATCACCACATTGGAGCAGCTACTCACCAAGGCGCTGAGCGATTCCCCACGAGCCAGATCACCCTTGGACAGAAAGTAAGAAGTCCCAACCACATCCAACTCCTCACTGGTCATGCCATGTCCGTCATCTTCAACACATAAACTCAACGTTCCTAGATGTAGCTTCACGTCGATGTGCTTAGCACCAGCGTCCATGGAGTTCTGGACTAGCGCTTGGACTGCACTTCCCGGTGACTCTATGACCGTGCCACCTCGTATCCTAGACGCTGTTTCCAGGTCTAGGCGTTTGATCATATTGACATTGATGGTAGTCTAAAGACTGTTGAGCGTAGTGCATACTTGCTCGGAGTCAAGGCAGACCGACCCCAGTCGGACCCCACAGATTTTCAGGAACCACCCTAAATTGGCATTTGTTTGTCAAGCCGAATCTAAACAAACTTTAGTCTTCGTCAATATATTCCTTCATTTAGGTCAATCAGTCCTGTCTGTGGCCAATCTACCACAGTCTCGGAGTTGGAGCGCATTTGAAGCCATCGCCTGCACGTCTGATGCAGCTTACTACAACGTCTTCTTCATGAAATCAGCCAGCCCGAGGGAAGACCACCTCCTGAAAAACTCAGACGTCTCTGCAGTAGAATCCCTTGTGGCAGGCTCCATCTCAGGCGCCGTGGCGAGGTATGTTCGGAGAATCCCGACCTATCAATTCATACTAACTTCAGGGCCATCACTGCTCCGTTGGACACCATCAAGATCAGACTACAGCTTCTGCTCACGCATGACAAGAATAGCACGATATCTCTGACGGTGAAGAAGCTCCTAAGGAGGGAGGGCGTCACAGCATTGTGGAAGGGTAACGTCCCTGCCGAGATCCTCTACGTCTTATACGGCGCATCTCAATTCACGTCATATTCTATGCTCAACAACGGCCTTCGTGACCTTCAGGAGTCATTTGGTTTCACAATGAGCCGACTGCTACATACCTTCACCGTGGGCTGTGGTGCTGGCTTGGCAAGTACCGTGTTGACATACCCTTTTGACATGCTTCGAACTAGACTAGCCGCCAGCGAGGCGAAACAGTTCTTGTCCATGTCAAAAGTCGCCAAGGATATCTACAGGGATAAAGGTGCTTTGGGTTTCTTTGCAGGTATCCGACCCTCCCTCCTTTCGATCGTTGCCTCTTCAGGCCTCTTCTTCTGGTCATATTCCCTTGCCAGAAGCACTACAGACAAAATCCACGAACAATTCGGATACCGCATTTGGGGTGTTGAAGCTGTCTGTGGCTTCATTGCAGGCTCCACAGCCAAGGCCATCACATTTCCCTTGGACACCTTACGAAAACGAATGCAAATCTCACACGAACGGAATGGCTTCAAGGTATTCAGAGCAAACTACAGAAATCACGGCTTATTCGGATTTTACCGTGGTTTCCTCGTGTCGCTCATGAAGACAGCGCCTACAAGTGCCATTTCAGTCTTCGTTTACGAGTACTCCATTAGCGCTACCAGAAAAGCCCGCGTCCTTCTTTAACCTAATACCCTTGCATAATGTTATAGACTGGTTCTACTGCTTAAATAGATAATCTCCATCATCCTCATCATCCTCGTCGTTTCCTTCCTCCTCGTCCTCCTCATCATCTGTATGATGGTACAAAAGACCATCGTGATCATTCATACCCTCCACGGATCTCGTAAACAGACTGGGCAGAATGTACTCCTTGTCCGTATCCGACACCGCTGAGTCAATGCCCTCCTGTGAGACATTTGCACTGTTGTCGTCCTTACGCACATATAGCGACAGTGAGTTCACTAACACGTTCCTAAACCTGTCGTTTTGGCTGTTCTCGAGCCGTCGGAGCGACAGAGATTGTATTTGGCTGTGTTCTTCTGGCGTGGTTAAACTCTCTGATCTTTCTCTTCTGCTAGGACTTTTTCGTAGCGACTCATTTGTTGATAAACTTCTCCTGTCATTCTGTTCCAGGTCATTGATAGTGAGCTGCTTGCGAATGTATTCGGGCAACACCTCACCCACCAATGATGCTCTACGGCTGGCTTTGACCGTCTGAGAGCTCACGGTTCTCGATGGATTTTCCAGTTCTGGGTGCTGAAGCTTCGCCTTATACTTCTTCAATGTCTTCTTGATGCTTCCCTTCGTGGGCTGTCTGTGAGGAACAGGGGTGTAGTCCTGATTTTCAAGATTCGTGACTCTGGAGTTAACGCTGAAGTTGCTGATCGTTGCCACAGCAGGCGTGCTGGCAGCGCCTCTATTTGCACTTTCACCCTGAGTAAGGTTCCTTATTTCAGTAGACAATCTGCGCTGCGTTCCTTCGTCGTTAGAAGGTAGAGGTTTGTAATTCTTCGAAAGCTCCTCGGGAACTAGATCATGAATGCTGTGGCCAACCTGCTGCGCTACTTTAAACTCCACGAGGTTGAGATCCTTTATTAGTTGGTCTACCTCCTGCTGCAAAGGTGACGTTGTATTTTGGTTCTGCCCTATGAGATACACGAGCTCTTTATCCTGTCCTAGACGTGTCTTTTCGACCACGTCCTTGAATATGCTTTCGTACGACGGTACCATTAAAGAAAAGGAGTGGTTCTGGGGACCAAGATTTCTACATTGTGCAGCGCGATAACAGTTGGGGTAGATGTGCGGCATTGAAAATACTCGAAACTCCGCTTACTATACAGACTAATGAGAGTAGAGAGCACGTACTTCCTCGAGAATTGTAGGATACCACCTTTCAGCCACATCTTGATGCGACTTGATCCGGTTCCGGAAAACGGCATGTCCCACAGCGTGCTGGGAAAGATCAGGCGTGAATTGGAAACCAACATCCACACCCCAGTCCTCAATAGCCTTGTCCCGCTCGTCTCTAAGTTTGAGCACTTCGTCTGGAAGGTTCTCAACAGCCAGTTTTCTCGAGTCGAGGTCAATGGTCTGGAAGAATGGAATCGAGATACGGGTTCCTGACCCTGCAGCAGGGTTGAGCACACGATGAATCGTAGCCTTGCATACACCGTTTGTGATGGCCTCGAGAGTTTGCCCCGCGTTAACGACAAGACTATGGGGAATGTTGTCCACTGTAATCCACTTGCCCTGGAAGTTTTGCACTTGAAGAGAGTTCTGGTGTTCAGTGGCCTGGTAGATGTAGGTGAGTAAGTCGGAGTCACGGTGTGGACCGACGCCTTGACCAGTTTCGGGCAAATCATCCAATGCTTGTGACTTGACTCCTTGGAGCTGGTCGGAGTCGGGGTACGCAACAAGCTTCATCTTACACTGCTGATTCTCCTTGAAGTACCCATCCAACGCCTCGGGAGCAAGTCCAATTGCTTCGCAAGCAAGCTTTCTGAATGTAGTGCTGAGTTGGGTCATCTTCTCGATGTAGGTTGTAATGACTTTCCTGAAACCAGGGATGTGCTGCTCGTCTGGCCACAAATTGGGCCCTTCAATGTTCCTGTAAATCGGGTCTCCCTCTTTTGGAGCAGGCAACTCAGTGGCCAAATCAATTTGCTCACGCCAATCAGTCTGTGAAGCTGTGATCTCATTTGCCAATCTCGTGTAGCCCAAGAAGTGTGGAGAGTGAATCATCTCGCAATCCCGCTTGACTTCATCTGGTAAAGCAAAGAAACGAATCAGCTGATTCTTGATATCCTCGAAATCTTGTCTTGAAGGGCCATACTTCTCATAATTCACTAGGAGCAAAAACCCCACATTGATGAGCGAATTGCGAAGTTCTGCTAGGAATTCCGGCTTTGTTGCTGGATCAAATGCTTTCTCCAAGTCAAGAACCAGAATCAGACGGAAAGACATCTTTGACAAGCAATGTCCGAAAAATTTTGTTTTTGGGTCACTTCATTTTCAAAGAGCCACAATTAAGTCATTAGAAGCGCACGTGACGCTTATCTCGGGATGTAAGGTTGCCGCGACTGCAGATGTTTGGCTGCAAAAACGATACTACGGGCATTCATTAAGTTTGACCCTAGTCATCCTTCTTCGCATCGGTAGTGTCAGTGACAACATCTTGCTTCAGTTCATCCTTCGCCTCATTAGCTTCTCCTTTCGTCTCAGCTTCAGTCTCAGTTCCAGCCTGCTCTTTCTCTTTCAGATCATCCGTGTGCTCTTCCTTCGGCTCTTCTTTGGATACTTCCTTGGGCTCTTCCTTCGCTTCTCCCTTGGTTTCCTCCTTGGTTTCATCCTTGGCTTCGCTTTCACTTTGATTTGACTCCATACCCTCTTTTGTTTCATTCACCTCTTGATTCAGCTCATGGTTTACTTTTTCAGAATCATCCTTGGGATTGGTTTCGTTTTCTCCCCCAATCTTATCGACAGTCATGTCTTTTTCCTCTGAAGTTTCCGTTAACTTGTCCTCTGTGGCCAGTGGTTCTTCCGACTTCTCTTGGACTGCGCCAACTGCATTCTTCAGAGACTTGTCCAATTGATCCTCCTCCGGTTTCGTTGCATTTGTAGATTGCTCAGTCTCGCCGCTTATGTTGGAGGTATCTGCGGTTTTCTTAGATGCTTCATCAGATTGAGGCTGTGGAGTGTTCTCATTTGTCTCTTCCTTGGTGGTACTCTCCGGAGCAGAACTTACCCCATTTTTATCAGACTTGCCATTGACTTCTAGAGATTTTCTTGCTGCCTCGGCTCTCTCTCCCTCGATATTGTTTCTCATGATCTCCTCCATCCTTGCGTCTTCAACAGTAGGAAGAGCATTGACATTCTCCCAAATGACTTGACCTGAGTTGCCGTACCCTGGAAGCTCTCCAAGCTTCACTCTGAAATAGTCAATATCCTTAAGAAGCGAGTGTTTTTCATTAAAGTCTTTGAACTGCGGGAGTTCAGTGCAAAAACAATGCAAAAGCAACTTCTTGTAGTTATCGAAGATTTGCAGTAAAATGAGGGAGCATTCGGTTTCGCGCATATACTTCGAGAGTACCTTTGCGACTGTGCTGGTCTCTTTCACTAAAGTCTCCATAAATTGATGACATTGTTGACCAGGTTTGAGTGGTTCTGACCAGTCAATCTTCACAATGGAGTTACAATGATTCATCGTACGATCCTTCATGATCAGGACGAGCTTGGTAAAAAGCTCGTTCTCGTGGTCTTTGTAGTTTGAAATGATCTTAGCAAATGTGAGGTCCTCGCCTTGTTGATTTAGCTCAGTCTCTTCCTCTTGATTTTTAAAAACATGCTGAACGGCACTAAGGAAGGCGTGATCGAATTCAATTGTTTGGATGCAAAGAGCGAGATGCTTTGTAGTGATATGCTTAAGGCCTGCTGTTCTTGTGGCACCAGCATTCAAGATAGCCTGTGAAATTCTTGAGTTCATTACCTTGAAGAAAGTCAAAACATTGGCCTTGATTGTGGGTGCCCTGGATGTGAAGATCGATGAGATAACAATGTAGTCCCTAATGTTCTTGACAACATCGAGAATAAGCTTGGGCACCATATACTCATCGTCGCCGATTTTGAGCTTGGTTCTCTGAGAGACACTTTGTTGCTTGCCTTCATCTGATGAGGTATCCTTTTCATAAAAGACTAGTAGGTTAGACCAATGCTTGCCATTGGAACCTTTCTGACCGTCTGTTTCGTGGTACTTACTGTATTCAAGCACCTCATCCAAATAACTTTGAGCAATGGCTAAAGCATCCGAATTAGTAAACTCCTTCCAGGTCTCTTTATCACAATTGGCGACAAAGCGTTTGATGGAGCTCAGATGGAAGCGATGTATGTAGTAGCCGACATGGTTTTTGACCCAGTCATTGAAAGAACTTCCAGGACCAGTTGCATTGTAGCCAGGATTGATGAACTCGCACTCCAGTAGGTATGCTGAAGAATAGGAGAAGAGCTTGAGGTATTCCTCAATCGAAGAGTCACAAAGTTGCTCCAGACGCACGTTCGAAATCTTTACCAAACGAACCTGAGTCAATTCGATTGCTCTGTTAATTGCATTCGTAATGTCCAAAGACATGACATCAAGTGTGTCATTCGAGGAGAGCGAAGAGAGCGACAAATCCAATAAAAGCTTCTGATGAATAGTGAGTCTTCGTAAGCATTCAGACAAGCTGGCAAAGATGGTCTTCATCATAAGAACATACTCTTCGTGTGAAAGACCTTTGATATTTGATGATAAAGAATTGCTTGCCATAGCTGTCGATTCGGCAGTCTGAGATGCATCAGGTGGTACTGAAGAGTCTCTGGACTCAGGATTTGACAGAGCTTCAAGTTGCATAGGATCAAGTTTGCTCAGGGCCAGCGGTAAATGCGCTCTGATGATCGCTTTGACTTCTGTGATGATCTTATTCTGGTAATCGCCAAACGCTTCAACCAAGTGACTCGACTTGTATAGATTTTTGATGAAGATAATTAGCTGTTCCTTGACTTCTGTAGGAACTTTTGTGTATGAAGTATTCAGCGAGGTGCCAAATGTTTTGCTAGAATCAATTGAGATATAGATACGATTCATAGTATCCTTTGGTGTAACCAGATTGTAATGGGACCTGAGATCCTCTAGAAGCAAATTCACGAACGACTCGATGTAACCCTTGCTGCATGCCAGCTTCAACTGATTCAATTTGTTCTTGATTGAAGTAAGGGCAGGAACTCTAGTAAGATCGACTAATGGATAATCAAACGAAGGATAAAGTTTGAAGGTGTCAGGATCAGGATAGTCCTCACGAGTGGTACCGTTGATGAGATGCTCGATAGTTAATATACTATCAAGACATTCGCTGTGCCTACCTTCCGAGAACATCTTTTCAGCCTTTTGAAACCAGCTCACCACCTCCTTCAACTGAAGGACAGATGATTCGAGGTGGCACACATTTTGGCGTTCGTCGAGCAAATCCAAAATCTTCAAGCCACATTTGGCTTGGTCTTCCTCTATGCTTCCAAGCTTTGTTTGTATGTTGTGGAATTGATCGATGCATTCTGCTGACTGGGCCTTGATGCTTTGAATTTCTCCCAAGGTGCTGAAGAAAGAGTCCGATGTTTTGGAAATCTCCTGAATAAGCTCCACCTCCACTCTATCTAAATATTGAGAGAGCTTTTCCTGGACCTCTGTGTTATGTACAATGTGGGTGCTATCATGGGAGTCTGGATCAGGCAATATCTGAGAGTTCTCCATCACTTGGCGAAAGATTCTTGGGTCGTCTAGGTGGAAGTCGGGATTCTCGAACACTGATGGTATTTGCGAATCTTCATCATCTATGTGGTCGGAGGAATGATCAGGTGTGGATCCTCCAAGCTTACTCAAAACGTCCTCAGTTAAATGCCGATTGGTCTGCTCGAAGCTTTTGTAGTCTGCGATCATGTCCTTGACTAACTCTTGGCTCATTCTCTTTGATGACACCTTATGCTTGAGCGATTGGAGCTGGATCTGTGGGATATCTTTTGACGTAGGCTTGGTTAAGTTGTAGATTGTGTTTGCACCGCCATTGACCAGAAGGTAGGTCTTCAACGGCTTGTTCAGCTTGACTCTGGCCACATCAGAAGCCAGGGTGAGTTCAAAGATTGAGTTGGGCCCCAACGGCAGGAATGCATCTGGAGCAGCCTCCTCCTCACCCAGACCAAATTTGAGTATGTTAAAGGCCAGAATAATGCTGTCTTCACCGGTAGACCCACGGAAGTTCAGGTACACCGATTCAGTTGGAGGCTTTCTAGCCAGTTCTGTGGACCGCTCACTTGCCACGTCTTCATTGATGTTGACAGTGGTATCCATGGATGCACGTGCCGACGGAGTAGCGTGGTCTCCGTCGAGTGACATGGTGTGGCTAGGTTTAAAGAAGGGTGTTGTTGGCTCTTGGACACTTGATATGTCGGTACAGGAAGGCATGCGCTAACCCACCAGGTGGCATCCAGAGAAGGTTGGTTTATGGAGCGAGATTTGAAGTTTGGGTAAATTTTCAAGGCGAAGTAAGCAAAATCTTTGATTTTATATTTTTATTTTTTGATATTGTCGTGTATTCACGTTTTGGTTGTCTTTTGGTATGCATAGTCCGATATGGAGTAATGCTGCGAAAAGGTGCAACCGATTTATGGGCGAAGTGAAAACGTCTACACTACGTAGAAATGGTGAAATGTTCGAGAAATTTTATAATTTTTCTCCGCCAAGCCAAATAAGAGTTGTTTTGTCAAATATCATTGAAATTTGCTCAAATCAACAGAAGAGTCAATTTTGGAACCCAATTTGGCTTGCAGTCGAGAACCATCAAAGGAAACAAATCGGTCTGAAACAACCTTAGGGGAGACAAAGGCCTGGTTTTGATATCCCACAAAAGGTAAATCATCAATTGGTCTCGATTATACCTAAAATAAATGACAAAAACTTTGTGGTACCAGTGGAACTGACGCCATGGTCACGTGCGCTCGGATGGTGCTTCCAGAAGTATGCGAGCCTTACAAATCACTTCTTCACTTCAACTTCTTCATGTCTGAACCCGCCAAAACTGAAAACAAGCCTAAGCCATGTTGCGTTTGCTTAGACGAAAAGAAGACTCGTGACGAGTGCCTTCTTTTCAACGGACAGGAGTCCGGAAAGTGTGATGAGTTGATCCAGAAGTACAAGACTTGTATGAAAGGCTACGGCTTTGAAACAAACTAGATTCCCAAAAGATCCTTTATTCCTGTAAATATAAATGCCTAGTGTATATAGCAAGGGTCTGACCCAATAGAAGAAAAACAGAAGTTATGCTAAGTTGTAGACCCATAGCGAGTGTTTTGATCTGCCTGAAGTGACCGTTTTGGCAAAAGGTTGTCACCTTCCCTCTCCAAGTCAGCACTGGTGGCGATCTCCCCGTCACCTCTATGACGCCGAGCGTTGGTTCTATAAATGACCTGATTTTGAATGAAGTTGTCGATCAAGATCAATTGCAAGCAGTTCATGAAGATAGGCACCACGAACATCACAATGAAAATCTCAAATTCATTGGGATACTCGTCGAGCCATGCAAGAAGAATCTTGCTTGTGATCCATAGGAGTTGCGTCTCGAAGCACTCCACAAGACCATACAAGATGAACTTTGTCGCCATCAACGCACTGAAGTAGATACCAAGCTGCTTGATGTACGCCCGTCTGCTAGGATTGTGTGGATCTGGACCGTATTGACCAGAGTCGATCTGTGTCATGTGGAGGTGGGTCTTGCAAAACCAGTTGAAGCACCGGAAGACTAGATAAAGAATGTACACGCCAATGGTGCAATCGAACACAATGCTTAGGAAGTACCAATCGCAAGGATCTCCGCTGTCGTCCTCAACCGCTTTGACCAAATCTTCTGGCAGTGTCTTGATAATCGATAGTAGAACGTTGAAGACGTGAACACCAAAAGCTCCAATAACCTGTTTAGAAACATCAAAAATCCAGACTGGCCAGCTTCTTCTGACTGGATACTCATAGAATCGCTTGATGAGAAGTGACAGAAGGCAAAGGAGACCTAAAAATGCCTGAGTAATGAGGGAAAAGGTTCCCACTAACTCACATTTGCCATCGGAGTCATCATTGGAGTGGGACCTTGTCACCTGTGATTCTATGAAGAGCGTGCTTGCCAAAAAGCCAGCAAGCGATGTTGCACCCGGAAGTGTGAACATAAGTTGTGGATTCTAAGAAAAAAGTTGAATAAATAAGATCTGTGGATTGGTGGGGTTTTAGTCACAAAAACCTGGAGCAAGCTAGTGATGCTAGATGCATACACTGCGTGGTGTACAGGTGCACCCACATGGCTGCAAAAACGTATAGTCTAAAATCTGAGACATGTAGTTCATCTTGTATATTCGTAAGCGATAAAATGAGCACCGTGCCGGTGCATGGAATACCAATCTATTCTTTCTTTAGCTGCTATTTTTGTTCCAGCTTCCAAGGAAACTTGCCACACCCAGCCCCTTACCTCGCCTTTGATTATTGGATTCATCGGAGTCTGACGACGAGACGTTGAGGCCATTCTCACCAGCAACTTTATACAACGAGGAATAGCTATCAGGACTCTTCGCGCCTTCGGATGGTGGCCGAGCATCTTCAACCTCGGAGTCAGAGTCAGAGTCGGACTCAAGCACAAATCCACCTCTAGATGGCTGTTTCACGATCGGTGGAGATGCCTTTCCCAGAAATGCATTCTCAGATGTGGTGTGAGGGGGCAATGGCGATGCCTTTCTCTGAAGTGGAGGCAGCGTGGCTCCTTCACCTCTCCGGGTTTTGTCCGCTGCATCTGGCTCTAACTGTTGTGTTGCATTATTCGGCGTTGGGTTGAAGAACATGTCCGATAAGGCGCTTGGCTCTTCAGACCTGGACTCTGTCTTCGAGAGTCCGCCAGCTCCCGAGAAGAATTGGCCAGAAAGCGAACTCGAAGAATGTGGCTGTTTCAGCAAGCTTGTCGAAGAATACCTTGGGTTGATCTCGGAAATGTGACCCTCCAGAGGCTCATCGGACTTGTTAATATGTTCAGGATAGTTGGACTCGTCCTGCTTGTTTTCTGTTGCAGTCATACCACCGCCAAACACCAGCTGTGCAAGCGACGAGCTCGAGTTGCGTGCGCTGATAGAGAGTCCTTCTTCCTCGCTATCGCTGTCAGAGCTCGAGTCACTCCCATCTAAAGAGAATGGATTTGGCTTTGGTTTATTGGTGGGTGCAGCGGAGTCATCAAGTGAAGAAATGGGCAATTTTTCTGAGTTTGGGTTGTTGTTGTCATGACCACAATTGATGACATCAAGAGGGGCATTATCAAAGTTGCGGATATCCTCGTTTTCGATGATCTCATAATCGAAGTTGGATCCCAATGCAATATTTTCTGGCACGTCGACCACGTCGGGAGCCCTGTCTCTCCCGCCCGAGCCATAAATGGCGTGGTTGGGATCCACCTGATAAACTGTATTGTAATCGTAGTGGTAGTCGTAGCCTCTATTACTGAAATTGCCCACATTATGCGATAAACTGGATGTGTATGGGTTCTCATCATCACTCTCCTCGTCAGAAGTACCGTAGTTCAATGTTGTGGAAGGAAGTAACTCAATCGTGCTGTAGCGTTTGAGGGTCGAGGGGTGTGGTGTATCCTTTCTCTCAAGTTTATTATCCTCTCTCTTGTACAAGCCGGGATGGTGGCTGGCACTTGAAGACGAGGGCACCTTCAAGAAGAAACCTCCCTCTTCGTCATCATCATCATCATCATCGTCATCGTCCTCACCTTCGGAGTCCAATGAGTGCATGTCGGTATCTTCATAATAGCTTTCACTGCCTAGATTGTAGTCCCCATCCTCCTCCTCTTCACCATCATCTTCAGAATCAGCATAATAGCTTGTAGGTGCTGATGGGTCAGAAATGGCCATGCATTGGCGGACTTCGCCGTTAAACCTAACATGGCGGTCCTGTTTTGGAGGCTTCTCTGAATGAGCAAAGGAAGATCGTAAGGGGGATGCATGGGCGTCGTGTTGCGGTGAGGCAAGTCTCTCTAAGCCGTACTGGGAGGCCTCAGAGTGGTCGGAGGCATGCGAGGCGGTGGCTTCAAGTTCCGGCAAATCGGCACTTGAGTTGTTCTGGGAGTTATTTTGGGAGAAGTTCTTGTACTGTGAGTTCAACTTGGCGGAAATGGCGTTATAGTCAAAGTACTCTGGCGGCCTCTCTGACACACCGGCCTTGACGGCAGCTTCTCGCCTAGCCTGATGCTCAGCTTCTTCACGACGGCTTTGCTCTTGGTCAGCACGAGCCGATGCAATTTCAAGCTTCCGCAAGTTCAGGTGGCTGATCATCATGTCTTCCACGGTACGCTTTTTGAGGATTGGTTTGGGGCCCGACGTTCTGCGGGCAATGGCGACATCGCCGGCCACGGCATTGGTGGCTGTTTCAGATGCTGGGCGGGATTCATCTCCGTGGTCGTGGTCATCATCGTCGAGAATGGGTCCGTAGAGCCAGGTGACATCGCTCTCCTTAGACCAGTTGACTGCTTCCGGACTGATGGTCTTGAGGTTGGAGCGCCGCTGAGCCCACGTTCGCCAACTGGCGTTCTCCAAACGAGCCGCATTGGCAACACTCTTTCTACGAGAGATAACATACCTCCATGACTTGCTGATGTCGGCCACATCCCACTGGTGCGAGAGGTAGTCCACATGTCTGGAAGGCTCGGCAGAGACGTCAGTGTCGTCGTGAGGAATGAGTTCCGGGCTGGTAAGGAACGGTGGCGTTGGCGTAGTGGTGGATGCTGCCGTTGGAGACTGGGGGTTGTTGGACTCCGAAGGGGCATCGGTGTTGACTCTGAGTCCCGTGCTCTTCCCATCCTGAGACGATTCCTCGTCCTTGCCAGCATTATCCAGCTCCTTTGCTTCTGCCTGGGCCTCGATCTTCTTCTCTTGCTCACTTGGGTCGATGAATTCGTCTAAGAGTCCGAGCGAACGGGTCCGTTTTAGCTTAAACGTGGTGTTTTGAAAATGGTCGTCGTCCTCGGCGTCCACGTGCTGAGACGTGGTTGCACCTCCTGTGAAAACCTCTCCCTGATTGGACATGACGTTAGGTGCTTTGCTGGACTGACTGGGAGGGGCAGGCGCTGGTATGGTTGGTTACTGGTTGGTGGTTGCGGCAACCGGTTTTGGTGTAGTTGCGCCTGTAAAGAACAGAAATGGGAATATGGTGGATGCAACAGCGCCTTCAGTAGCTGTAGTAACTTCACAGCGGGGGCAAATGATAAAGGTTGTGGATTAGAGACACCTGGGGGTGAAAAACGTGAGCGAGACTTGAGCTCCCTGGGTATAGGTTTACTGCACAAAGGCCCGTGCACCACGCCTTGGCCCAACCACCGATGTGTATTAGAGGTTGGGCAGGGGAGCGGTATAGATTGATTTTATTAAGGAAGAAAGAGAAGTGACGACAAACTAGACTGAAACTTATCTATTCACATTGCTCTATATGCCCTGATGGCGGGTAATGCCGTGTAGTCTTTAGTATGCTCGGTTACCTTCAGACAGGCCTGACTGGGATATCTGGGGCAGACCGTTTTTGCCCACCTTCCAGCGCCATCCTGCAGGACGCCGTTTGAGGACATGTTTTGGCGATCTTGTTGAAACAAACCGTGTTTTTTATAGATATGGCCATAATTCTGGTCGTGGACAGCACGGCTATTATTGCCCCCATGGAATTATGCGTCCTAATATCGGAATATCTTCAAGCGAGAGCAACCGGTGCGCGCCGCTTGTCTGGCGGAATGGGTGCAAAAGTTCCAAAGATCGGCACCTGAGAGTTTAAGGTGGGGGTGATTTGTGGGTTGATTTTGCCTGAGTGCGGAAAGATTTAGAATTCTTCATCCCTTACCATAGTCATGATTTCTCATCCTGTTCCACTGGTATGAACCTAGAACTCGGCTCTCGGAGCCCGGGCCGACCGCACGGAATAACCAAAAGTGGCCTCTTACCCATCACGCAATTGAACCTTGGCGTACGGATAAAATGAGCTTCCGTTAACTCACATTACCCTCAGCCTTCATTGCCTCCTTCTCTTCCTTCATTTTCTTGTATTTGGCAACCACTTCATCGTGAGTACGCTTTCTCTCGTTGTAGGCAAGCTGTTTCCGGTGGCGTCTGCTGGACTCATGGATCTTCCAGTTTGTCTCTCCCACAGCCACAAGCGGACGCCCCTCCAGATCCTTGCATACCGAACACTCAAAGTGTTTCCAATTGGCACTGCTCTCTTTGAGCTTGTTACTCTTGAAGGACTCGAAAAACTCGGATGTAGGTAAAAGCTGCTTCAAATGCTCTGGTGCCTCAGGCTCTGTTACTTTGGACGGACCAGATTCCAAAAACTGTTGCGCTATTCTCACTCCTCTATCGCCCACCAAGCTTCCCCAATTGCTCAAGTCTGTGGCATCTAGAAGGTACATTTTCCCTCCATACATGTAATGAAAGCGAGCCTCCTTGTGAAGCTCAACGCCCAACATCTTAATGATCCATTTGACCTGATACTTTGCATATTGCCGGGTCCGGATCTTCATTCTTTCAACTCCCTCCGCAAAGAGCTTGGGGTCAGTTTCACCACTTTGAAGCCAGGGCAAGAACTCCTTGAAACCAATAACCTGTAGAATGCTTCGACTGCAGTCAGGCTCCGGGTCCTGTTGCTTATAGAAATCGTAAAGTTCCTGGATTTCCTGCAATGCACCTTCTTCCATCATCTTGTCTACACGAACATCGAGTCGGTGCAGCAAAACCTCCCTGTCGCAGTGAAGCCATAAAAGTAGGGTGTTATAGTTGAGACAGGAGTCTTCAAACTCATCGAGTTTCTGCTCTCGATAAACGTCACTGGCTTTTTCTCCAGTTGTCAAGTAGATCTCCAAGGCTCGTCTGATCTTTCTCTGGTCCACAGGATGAAACTTTCCTGCAATCACCGGGTCAACCTCTTGAAGCTTCTTGAAGGTTTCTTCAACCGGTCCATCAAGTAATGCTTGCTCGTCCGCAGTGAGATCTCGTAGTTTGGCACTTTCTTCCTTATCCCCAGCAGTTTTGTTCTTGAACAAAAGCTTTTGAAGGTAGTAAAATGTACCACCAATAATGATCGGCGTCTTTCCGCGTGCATGGATGTCTTTGATAGCAGCATTAGCTTCTTCTCCAAACCTGTGAATGAAGTACTCTTCTCCCCAGTTCACATGGTCCATTACATGATGGGCAATTCCCTCTCGTTCCTCAAGAGGGTGCTTGTTTGTAATAAGTGGAGCCCTCTTATACACTTGCATGGAGTCGGCATTGATGACTTCGCCGTTTATTCTCTTCGCTAGTTCTATACTCAACTATACTGTTAGATGCGCTGGGTGATGCTTCACGTAACACGTACCTGCGATTTTCCCACACCAGTGGTACCAACGATGGCGATGACGTTCTTCTTGGGCTTGCTCATGATACAATTTTTCATATACCGTAGATACCTCAATATCATGAGCTCATCTGGCGATGGATGTACATCAACATCATCGCACTGTGAAGTACTCACTGCGAGTCTGGTCGGACTGCATCAGTGATGGTCCATATCCTGGGAAGGATCTCTAAATGCTCTTTGGCTCTGAGGAGCGGCTAATGGTGTTCCTTGATTTTGCATTGCGTTTTCAATGTCTCGTAATTTGTCTTGATTTTGTATGTTGAGCAGGAGCTCTCTGGCCTCCTCTCGTCTTTCATACAAATAGTGGTCAACGTCGTGCAATACAGCGTTTCCCTTATCTAAGAAATCCGCGTAGAATTTCGAAGCTTGATTGAGATTGGAAACAAGGTCAAGATACTGAACGTATGCTTCCTCGAAGCTTTGCAACGCCTGGTGTCTTTTATCATGAGCTGCATGTGCAGAAGATTGGCGCACCTCAAGAAGCTGTAAGTTCTTCTCATGTATTTTCTTTTCAAGATCCATCTGTTTCTGTTTGAGATCATCGACAAGTTGTAGGTCGGTGTTGAAGGCCTTTATGTGGCTTTCATACACCGGCTCGAACTTTCGATGGCTGATTTTTCCCTCTTCATCTAGGAACTTCTCCAGGTTTTTCTTGTACTGGCTCATGATAACAGGAAAAATGCTATGGTCTCTAGATTTGACTCCAACCGAAGAGATCAAGCGCTGCTTGCTCTGTTCAATTTTGTCTCCATTTGCTAGTAGCTCTCGAAGTTGTCCAATTACTTGACCAACGCTGGAATTTACTTGAGCGTGCGACGAACGTGGAATTGTGCCAATAAGCTTTTGCTTACCTCCACAGTAGACCAACAATACCTCTTTGATAGCACGGTACAGGTCCATGATTAGCGAATCACTTTGCAGACTTTGATCAAGGTATGATGCCATTTTGTTTACCCTCGTACTAAGTTCTGACGCTGCAACCCTTGAAGGCTCCCTGGTCCACCTATCAGAACCTTGCTTCTCCTTCATCAAATGATCTTCGTATCTCTCCATCGAAAGTCTCTCATTACAAGCGTCCACAAGATCTTGACATTGCTTTGCGAGCTTACCAATCTCAAACATGGAGCTGTCGATTAGCTTTGTACCGCCCATGGAAATGATTTCCTGGGAATGATGAAGTAATGAGTCCGGTACAGTTTCAGGCTTCTGGATCGCATCTATGGAAGCAGGGAGGTCTCGCTCAGCAAGGAACTTGTTGAACATCCTGGTTAACGCCTTTAGTGGCTCGTGGAAATGGTCAATGACAAAGACCTCCTGGCGTTCTCTGAATGCTTGGGCAACTTGGATAATGGAGAACGGAACAAGACGCTGGAAAGCTTCATTCTCGGAGGACTTCTCAAAAAATTGTTTTGATTGCTCCGCATCAACCATTGATACACCCGTAATAGCTGGCAAAGCCTTGTAATCCGGAACCGGCTTAAGATACACCAAGTCGTTATCTTTCTCTGCACTCTTGAGTGTACTTTTGACCATATCCGTCAAGCCCTGAAGATCTTCAACAACGGGTTCAGTAACGTAGCGTTTATATTTAGCACCTTCATCGCAGAGTTTAGAAGCAACTTTCAAGTGGGCAACTTGTTCACCGTATTTGAAACCATCTAATGCCACGACAGACATACGGTATTGTGCTGCAGCCTCAAAGTGGTATCCCTTGACCTTGAAGTGGTTGATCCAATCTAGAGTAATTGCATCAGACTCAGCACCGTATTCTGCTGCTTGCTTGTATAATTCAGAAACCTTCTTTGATAAGCGAGCTATCAAGTGGTCTTTTACGGTTTTGCCCATTGCAGCCTTCAGCCAAACTAGCTCTTGAGCCTGTGCAATGAGCATTATCTTGATGCACTGAAGCGTATCATCGTCAAAGTCCGGAATACCACGTAGCAAATCTTTATTCAGATCAAGCAAAGCATCAAAGAAACCTGCAGCCTTTTTCAACGACGTGCAAGCCAGCTTAAGACCGTCATCGGTATATGCGTTTTCATGAAGTGCTTTGTAGGAGTACAAAGCACCCATTTCGTAGATCAATTGAAGCTGCTCCTGTTTCCACGAAGTGAAGGAGCAATGCTTGGGCTGGTACCGAAGGGTGCCGTACCACTCGAACTCTACACAGTCATCCATGAATTTGTTGTTGACATCGGAAAGGAAGTGGTAGTATTTATACAAGATGCTCTCAAAATGCACAATATCGGGTGCTTCCTCCCGTGATAACACTGCCAAACTGTTCTGAAGATGCTGTGCGTACTTGAGATCATCTCCGAATGACGTCACCGGTTGAAAGTAGTCTCTTTTAATGAAATCAGCAAGAATGTCATGAAGCGGCTTTGCATCGCATATTCGGAAGGGTATTTGTATCAAGTTGTTGAACATGGTGTGAGGTGGTACCCTGTTTTTGTTATCTGGGGTATCGATGTTGGAGTCGCGCACAGGCATCGGCCTTTGTTATTGCGAACTAGTGGCTGCGAATAATGGCTGTCGCATTAAAGCTCGACTTCAGAACGGGCCAAGTCTACTGATTCCACAAGATCATGAAGTTGCGCAGATCTCTCCTCCAAGGAAATCTCCTCAAGATCCAAGACTTTTTGCAAAATTGCAACATTTTGGTTTTCATCCACAAGTTGCTCAGCCAAATTGACAATGGCATCGTACTTTTCTCTAGCCAGGCCATTATATTCAGCCGATCTCCGGTCGATATGGGCATCTAGATTGTCAGATGCTTCATGAAGGTCATTGATTGCCTGAAGTACTTTGGCTTTTGCTTCTTTAGTCTTGGGGAGAGAAAAGTCACTTGGTGGTAACTTCTCCTGCTTGCTGTTCTTCAACTCTATGTCAATAAGGGAAAGAACATTTTTCTGATCCGCTGGTTTGAGCGGAGTAATAGAAGCTGCATCGTAGGTAGTATCGACGGATTGCTTGTAATCGGCTTTGATAAGAGCCTGGAAGTCTGCTGCAATAGCCTTCTCTGCCTCAGAAAGATTGGGGTCAATCTCTTTCAATAAATGAGGATTTGGCACAGTCAAGCCACGAATGGATGCCAGGCTTCGGAATTGCTCTGGTTTCAAGTCTAAGTCCTCCAGATCCTCATCGTTATCCAGACCTGCCGCGAATGCTTCGATAGTCTTGTCAATCTGAGGTAACTTAGGCTCGATGTTATTCTTTGGCGGCGGTATCTTGGAAAACATTGACTTGATGAACTCTCGAAGCCTTTTCATAGACGACTTTTGCATCGGCTCCGAAAGTCTCTTTTTGGACCCCAGATCCTCCTTTGATCGCAAAGAGCCCAGGCTGGCCTCAAGAGCCGCCTCCTTGACCCGCTCTTCAGTTCGCTGAGTGGTGCCTGGCGCAGGTAAAACCAACTTCCTCCTTTTAAGATCTTGATCAGCGGCATCCGAGAATAACTTTGCGGCGTCCGAAAGCTCTTGTCTCTGTCTCTTCTTTGCTCTCTCATCACCACCGTCTGATTTCGGTTTCTTAACCTTTTCCTCTGGTGCATCGACACCTTTAAACTTGACCCTCTCCTGAAAGCTCAAACGCTCCCTATCGTTTACAGCATCTTCACCAGTAGTATCGTACAATCCTGGAGGCGGAGCATGCTCATGAGGAATATCAGCGTTGTAGTCGAAGTCGTTCCGCTTCTTTTTGTTCCTCAGCTCTAGACTCATCCTCACACCAGAAGCCTTGAGATCCCTCCGCTTTTCTAGAAGCGTGATACGGCGATTCTCTTGAAGCATCCGCTCCCTCTCTTTACGTTTAGCCTTCTTGCCCACTGTGTTGGCCAACCTAGCTTTGGCTTCACTCAACATCTCCAGCTCATCTTCATCCATGTCTTCTAGATCTGGACGAGATGGCAAACTCTCAAATGCATTTCCTAACGCCGGTAGCGTTTCAATTCCATGACCGGATAATTTGAGATCGTCAAGCTCCTCGTCCTCATCTTTGTTTCCTATAGCTCTATCTAGAAGCTGCTGGTACCTATCAACACATTGCGTGGGAGTACGGCCCATGATCGGGGAGATACTCCTCCATTGATTAGGCAATAGTTTCACCAAACCCAACAACTTCTCATCTTCTTCAGGGCTCCAGTCGTCTTTCTTGATGCTTGGATTGAGGTACTCATTCCATCGAGCCTTAGCCTGTTTGGCTGTTTTCTTCGGTAGGAGCGATGCCACACGAGCCCACTGGGTTAAACCGTATTTGGAAACGGCAGCTCGAAGAATCTGATCTTCAACATTCGTCCATTGTCCTCCTTTGACGTAGATGGGAGGTGCCATAATGATGTAGTGAGGGAAGAGATGTCTTAATGGGTGCGAAAGTAGAGCACACTAGCACTACCACAAAAGAGAGACAAGGATGAGCGAAACAATGCTGTCAGCTTCGCGTGGCGCTGTATGGGTCTCAAATTGACTGTTTAAAGAAAATTGAAATAGTGAAAAAGAGGGTTGAAAATGTGAAATTCAAAAAAAAAACGACCTCGGTGAGGGTCGAACTCACGATCTTAAGATTAACAGTCTTACGCCTTAACCAACTTGGCCACGAAGTCGTTGTGTTTGATATGGAAAACACAAGTAAATATGAACTTAAGTGCCAAAGATTGACCTTCAAGTTATCAATATTTGTTTCCTAAATGAGATTTAAAATGCTCTGAATAATGTAAGGCAGGCCTCGAAAAGTCCAAAAAACTAGAATGGACCTTCACGGAGACGGAGATCCAATACATTCAGGCATGGTATCAGTTGGTGAGAGGAACAAGAGAAACTCATCACTATACTATAGCTTCCAGAATGAGAATAGATGATGTGGACGCTATTTTGAGTCTTCCAGGGAATCCGAGTGAGGAAGAACAGGTGAAGCTGGGAACATTCAAATCCCTCAGCCGGAAAAATCAACAGAAGAAGCCCCCAATTATGCCGGGCAGGTTTAGACAAATTTGTCCAGAAGCTCAGCCGATAAAAAGGTGGGATAAATTTTGGAAGAACCTTTATAAGGAAGAATGGCTCAAACGCAATGATTTTGGAGCTATTCATCATTTCAACTTTGGATCATACGTGCCAATTCATGACAGAGAAAGCTCAGAACAAGAAAAATGCTACTTGTGTTTAAATCAACAGCTGCTGAATGAAATGCTCTCACACATATACAACGAGTGTGCAGTGTCACGATTTTGGTGGCAAAGAGTGGGGTTTACGAATGAAATGAATCTTAGAGAGATGCTAGCCCCTGAGGACACCTCCTTTGACAATCTCCGGAAATTAAACTGGTTTGTCAAGGCGGTAAAACTCATGTACGGCAAACGACGACGAACTGAAGCAGAAGGGGGACAATTGTCCGTCTTTCTGATTCGTGAGATGAAGAAAACCATACGACAAATTCTGCCAATGGGTAGGTGACGTGTGGGGATGAGACAATACCAACAAACAAATACCTTCCTCTAGACGGATCAGGGCCTGAAGTTCAGGATGAAGTCTGTCGCGCCTTTCTGGTAGGAGGAAGATATTTGGGTGCTTGATTAGTGGGTTGTGTTTCTATAGCGATATAGTTTTGGCTCCTAATGGAGAATCCTCTGTTAGAAGTGCCCTGCTAATACATTCTATAAAAAAAAAAAAAAAAAAAAACGGAAATTGAGGGTTTTAGCGTTCATAAAGTGCTCAATATTGATGTTATCGAAGAAAGCTTAACCGCAAATGAGAGAGACACTAAATTGGTCTAGATAAGGTCTATCAAAAAGCTTTCTTTTGGTGGTGGCGACCGATGTTTAAGGGCTTCAATCATTTTGCACCCGAACCGAATCCTACTATCTCACTCCCAGGTGCAGTCATAAACTACACCAAGACTCTACAAAACGTCTCCTTGAACTATGGAGAACTTGTGGTTAGCGCTCCAGCTTGCCCTCATATCCAAGAAAGACTTTGTCATACAAACCACTGACTATCATAAATGTTTGAACTCCCTAAAATGTTTGGCCACTGAGAGGTTTAACATTGACGACATAGTGGAGGTTGATCTCCAGGCTTTAGACGTTGACTTCAATGCTATTGCGGAAAGCATCATTAATCCAGAGGGTTTCGTCTACAGTATGATAATCTGGAAGAATCTAGAGACTGTAAAGCTTGATTTCGATAAGAAACGCAATCTTCTACGAGTCTTGGATGAGTTATCGAGGTACGGCAAGGTTTCATCGAGAAATACTGATCATGAGCCTTTTCAATTGGGTGATCGAATGGTCAGGAAGCCACCTATCTGTATTTTGGTTCCCATCATTGTCAATGGTACTCAAATGCCGAAGATAAATCCGCAGATCAAGAGCCGCTTTTTCTATTCCCAACTATACATCCCCCAGGACGGCGACGAACTGAAGCCACAACCAAGTGATGAAGACATCTTGCTGGCGAGATGCCTTCTAGATACAGTGTTTGTGAAGGCCACTGTTGAAGAGTACGCCTTCTCATTGTTCGTGTTCGCCAGATCACATCGATTATGCTCCTTAGCTCCACTTTCTAGTCGACCACCTTTATCTGCGAGAGAAAATGTTCTTTTATTGGCTAAAGCGTTAGTTGTCGCAAGATCTGACGACGATGAACGACTATTTGTCACGCCGGAGCATGTCAAAGTTGCCTTTCGAAAGGTGGCATCTTGGCTCATAGACTGGGAAACAAACCCTCTTTTTAGTGGCACTGGCGAAAAAGATGATTATAGGAAGAAAATGGAGATCTCCATGCTTACAGGTGATTGGTTTGGAAGTGAGTGGAGGCACGTTGAAAGTTACATAACGAAGAATGCCTCGAAACCGGACAAAAATTCGACTACTGGGTTCACCAATCCATTAGTTGAGGATGTTTTATTATCAGTGCAGCCTCCAATATAGTGCTGTGAGATTGTCTGGCTCGACCGTGCAGTGGGTCTTGAAGTTTTTCAGCGTTTACCTAGAATTTTTAGCGTCTACTTAGAGATTTATCATAATAGAGAGACGACTGATTCAATTGAGCTCAATTCATCTAATCTGCTTCAAAAGACACCAATGGTACCACGCCCTCGGTGTGGTTGCTAAAGATAGACCGAGTCACATATAGGCGCAACTGGGACATATTGGTCAATTACGTAAAGCTTCTACTTCATTTATTGTTTCTCTTGTTCACAATCCTACAAAAAGAGTGAATTTCAATTGGTGACCTAAATGCTCATTTTTTTCAGCTTGCAGTATTGAACAAGTTGTTCTTCCAGATACGGTCCGAGAGTCGCCAGGCCGCGATAACCGGAACCACCCATCTTTCATTGTAGTTGAGCAACGCACTCGAAAAGACTTCATCTTTTTGCATGATTATATAGAAATTCAAAAAATCTTTCTTTTCAAAAACGAAAACATTGCAAAATTTCAGTCGAAGTAGTGGCAGAAAGCCCAGGCTAGTACACACCCGTGCCTCCCGCTTACATAATCCAACGAGGCCACCTAGGAAACAAAACCACGAAATCAAAAACCACCTACCACCTTTTGCTACCGTCCCCTTTTACACCAACCCCCGCACACAACCCTACTTTTTGAAATTTTCAATTCCCGTGTGGCTGCTGGTTTAAATATGACGGACATTCCCATCAATTTCACCCAATTGGCTCAGTTGACCCAATTGGGCATTCAACAGCAGTCGCTTGATTTTAAATCAACCACCCTTGAGTCTGATCGCTACATATGTGTACGTGAGAACACTCAGCAAGGCAACACTGTCGCCATCATCGATGCTCAAAACAACTTTGAGGTGACCAGAAAGAACATGACTGCTGACAATGCAATCATGCACCCTACTGAGAACGTGATTGCTTTGAGAGCCAATGGTACTGCTTTGCAGGTCTTCAACTTGGGTACTAAACAGAGATTGAAGTCTCACACGCTAGAGCAACCCGTTGTTCTTTGGAAGTGGTTGACCAATGAGGTATTGGGTCTTGTCACCGCATCCACCATTTACACGTGGAATATCTTTGATGGTACCAACGACGGACCCGTCAAGCTTACTGACAGACACCACACGCTCAACAGCTGTCAAATTATAAACTTTGTTGCTGAGCCAGACCTAAATTGGTTTGCTGTCACTGGTATCGCTCAGGAAGACGGCAGAATTGCTGGCCACATTCAGTTGTTCTCCAAGTCTAGAGGCGTTTCACAGGCAATCGAGGGTCATGTATCTCGTTTCGCCCAAATTACGCTCAGCGGTGCCGCTAACCCCACCAAGGTCTTCTGTATTGGTAACAAGACTGCCTCTGGCCAGGGTAACTTGCACATTATCGAAATTGACCATGTCGATGGCAACCCTCCATTCCCCAAGAAGACCGTCGAGATCTTTTTCCCTCCTGATGCCACTAATGACTTCCCCATTTCGTTGCAAACCTCCAACAAGTACGGAATTATCTACATCTTGACCAAGTACGGTTTCATTCACTTGTACGACATCGAGACCGGCTCCAACTTGTTTGTCAACAGAATCACTGCTGAGCCTGTGTTCACCGCCGCCCCCTACAACGACGGTACCGGTCTCATCACCATCAACAAGTCGGGCCAAGTGTTGGCTGTCGAGATCGCCAAGGACAAAATCATTCCCTACGTTTTGGACAACTTGTCCGATGTGTCTTTGGCTTTGTCGCTCTCCTCCCGTGGTGGTTTCCCCGGTGCCGAAAACTTGTTCCAGCAGCAATTCCAAAACTACTTGAGTCAAGGTGACTACACCAATGCTGCCAAGGTGGCTGCCTCCTCTGAGCAATTGAGAACCCAGGACACTATCAACAGATTGAAGCACATCACTCCTTCTCCAGGACAGATTTCTCCAATCTTGCAATACTTCTCCACCTTGTTGGACAGAGGTACTCTTAACAAGTACGAGTCGATCGAGCTCGCCAAGCCAGTCTTGCAGCAAGACCGTAAACCATTGTTCGAGAAGTGGTTGAAGGAAGACAAGTTGACTTCCAGTGAGGAGTTGGGTGACATTGTCAAGTCTTACGACACTGCTTTAGCTTTGGCTGTCTACGTTCGTGCCAACGTTAATATCAAGGTTGTCTCGTCTTTGGCTGAGTTGGGTCAGTTCGAAAAGATCCTCCCATACTGCCAGAAGGTTGGTTACAACCCTGACTACACTAATCTTATTCAAAACTTGGTCCGCGTTAACCCAGACAAAGCTAGTGAATTTGCTGTTTCTTTGTTGGCCAATGGCGATGCTAACTTGAACATCGAGAACATTGCTGATTTGTTCTTCTCCCAAAACTACATCCAACAGGGTACTGCTTTCTTGTTAGATGCTCTCAAGAGTGACACCCCATCTGAGGGCCACTTGCAAACCAAGGTCTTGGAGACCAACTTGTTGCACGCTCCTCAGGTTGCTGATGCGATCTTGGGCAACCAGATGTTCAGCCACTACGACAAGCCAAGTATTGGTAAGTTGTGTGAAAAGTCTGGCTTGTTCCAGAGAGCTTTGGAGCACTACGACGATTTGAAGGACATCAAGAGAGTCATTGTGCACACCAACGTGTTGCCAGGTGACTGGTTGGTTTCATACTTCGGCCAGTTAAATGTTCAGCAGTCCATGGCCTGCTTGAACGAATTGATGACCAACAACTTGCAGCAGAACTTGCAAATTGTGATCCAGGTGGCAACCAAGTATTCTGATCTTCTTGGGCCTCTCAACTTGATCAAGCTTTTCGAAACCTACAAGTCCAACGAAGGTAAGTACTACTACTTGTCCTCCATTGTTAACTTGACACAGGACCCAGATGTGGTTTACAAGTACATTGAAGCTGCAAGCAAGTTGAACCAGACCAAGGAAATCGAGAGAGTTGTTAGAGATAACAACGTTTACAATGGTGAGAAGGTTAAGAATTTCTTGAAGGAAGCCAACTTGGAGGACCAGTTGCCACTCATTATTGTTTGCGACAGGTTCAACTTCGTTCACGACTTGATCTTGTATTTGTACAAGAACAAGTACTTCAAGTTTATCGAGGTCTATGTCCAGCAAGTCAACTCTGCCAACACTCCCCAGGTTATCGCTGGTTTGTTGGACGTTGACTGTGATGAGAACATCATCAAGAACTTATTGATGTCCGTTTTGGGCAGAGTTCCTCTTAAGGAATTGGTCGAGGAAGTTGAGAAGAGAAACAGATTGAAGATTTTGTTGCCATTCTTGGAAAAGACCTTAGAGGGTGGCTCTTCTGATCAGGAAGTTTACAACACTTTGGCCAAGATTTACATTGACTCCAACAACAGTCCTGAGAAGTTTTTGCAAGAAAACCAGCAATATGACACTTTGTCTGTTGGTAGATACTGTGAGAAGCGTGATCCATACTTGGCCTACATTGCTTACTCCAAGGGTAACAACGACGACGAGTTGATCAACATCACCAACGAGAACAAGATGTACAAGTACCAGGCAAGATATTTGTTGGCTAAATCTGACTTTGACTTGTGGGCTAAGGTGTTGAGCCCAGACAACGAGTACAGAAGACAATTGATTGACCAGGTTGTCTCTACTGGTATTCCAGAATTGAGTGATCCTGAGGCCATCTCTGTCACTGTGAAGGCATTCATGGAGAACGATTTGCCACAAGAGTTGATTGAACTTTTGGAAAAGATCATCTTGGAGCCATCTCCTTTCAATGACAACACTTCCTTGCAGGGTTTGTTGCTTTTGACTGCTATCAAGGCCGACTCGACCAGAGTTGCTAACTACATTGAGAAGCTTGATAAGTTCGACCCCAACGAAATCGCTCCATTGTGTATTGACAATGATTTGTTCGAGGAAGCATTTGAGATCTACGATAAGTTTGAACAAAGATCTGACGCTATGAAGGTATTGGTTGAGGACATCATGTCGCTTGACAGAGGTGAGCAGTACGCTGAGAAGCATGACACCTCGGACTTGTGGTACCAGTTGGGTACCGCTCAGTTGAACGGCTTGAGAATTCCCGAGGCTATCGACTCGTACATCAAGTCGAAGAACCCACAGAACTTCGAGCAGGTTATTGAAATTGCTGAACGTGCTGGCAAGGAGGAGGAGTTGGTTCCATTCTTGGACATGGCTAGAGAGTCTTTGAGAGAACCAGCTATCGACAATGCTTTGATCAACTGCTACGCCAACGCCGACAGATTGACTGACATCGAAAAGTTCGTTGCTGGACCCAATGTGGCCGTTTTGGAAGATATTGGTGACAAGTTATTTGAGGCAAAGAACTACAAGGCCGCTAAGATTTTGTATTCCAACATCTCGAAGTACTCCAAGTTGGCAACCACCTTGGTTTACTTGGAGGACTACCAGTCTGCTGTTGACTGCGCTAGAAAGGCTTCCAATACTCAGGTTTGGAAGCAGGTCAACAGTGCCTGTATTGAGAACAAGGAGTTCAGATTGGCCCAGATTTGTGGTTTGAACTTGATCATCGATGCTGAGGAGTTGCCAGAATTGGTGAAGACCTACGAGTACAACGGTTACTTTGACGAGGTTATTGCTCTCTTCGAGAGCGGTTTGGGTTTGGAGAGAGCTCATATGGGTATGTTCACCGAGCTTGCCATTCTTTACACCAAGTACAAGCCTGAGAAGGTGATGGAGCACTTGAAGTTGTTCTGGTCTCGTATCAACATTCCAAAGGTCTTGACCGCCTGTGAGTCCGCTCACCTTTACCCAGAGTTGATTTTCTTGTACTGCCACTACGAGGAGTGGGACAACGCTGCCTTGACCATGATGGACAAGTCCGAGGTTGCCTTCGACCACAGCTCTTTGAAGGAGATTATTGTGAAGGTTTCCAACTTGGAGATTTACTACAAGGCCATCAACTTCTACTTGAAGGAGAACCCAACTCTCCTTGTGGACTTGATGTCTGTCTTGATTCCAAAGCTTGATCTTCCAAGAGTCGTCAGAATGTTTGTTAAGTCTGACAACCTTCCATTGATTAAGCCATTCTTGATTTCTGTGCTCGACAAGAACAACTCGATTGTCAATGGCGCTTACCACGATCTTTTGATTGAAGAGGAGGACTACAAGTCTTTGCGTTCTGCCATTGAGTCTGAGTCGAGCAACAGATTCAACTCATTGGACTTGGCTGAGAGATTGGAGAACCATGACCTCATTTTCTTCCGCCAGATCTCGGCCACCTTGTACACCAAGAACAAGAAGTTTGCCAAGTCTATTCAAATCTTGAAGAATGATAAGTTGTGGGCTGACTTGATTAAGACTGTTGCCATCTCCAAATCCACCAAGCTTGCCCACGACCTTTTGGATTACTTTGTTGAGACTGGTAACCACGAGGGTTTCGTTGCCCTCTTGTACACCGCCTACTCTTTGATTGAGTACGACTATGTGATTGAGTTGGCTTGGTTGCACAACTTGGGCAACTTCATCAAGCCATATGAGATTTCTGTCGCTTACGAGAACCAGAAGAAGTTGAACGAGGTTTACGAGGACTTAGAGAAGAGAAGAGCTGCTGAGAAGACAGACGATGAGCCAGCTGCTGGGCAGCCATTGATGATCACGAGCGGTGCTGGCTTGGGAATGAACAACACCGGCTTGGGATACCAGCCCACGGGCGCTGGATTTGGCAATGCCTTTTAATCGCAACAAGAACCAGGAGCCGCGTGACTTTGTAGGGTAAGTCTAGCGGACCTGCTACAATTGCAAATAGAGACGACAAAAAGTTTGATTTGAATGGTGCTAGTGTAGAGTAGAAATGCATTGTGATGGGTGGCCATGCGGCGCACCACACTGCAAGGAGAAGAGATTGCAGAGAAAGAGATTTGAGCCCTTGTCTATGAACCAATTGGTCCGGATACAAAGGAAACGTTTTTTCTTTTTTCTTTTTATTTTTTGCCATAAGAAGGAAAGTTATTGTGTCGTGATGATCGTTTATTAATAGCGACAATGGATCGGAATCCAGCCGTTTTGGGATGCCATGTCGATGAAGATCACCTTGCAGATTGTTTCATCGGCGCTATGCTACCGTGTGAGATTGTATGTACTTCAAGACCTGGGTGAATGCAGATTGAAGTTTTTCAATTGATGCACCGGAAAGCAAGGCAGATACATGCAACGCCAGTGAAGGCAGGAGTGTGGAGGAGACCAGATCCACCAGGCGGCTTCCAAGAAGTAATTCTATGGATTGGCCCAGATTCAAAGTAAGGGCCACACGACGGCACTGGATGTCGGATTCTATGGCTGCAAAAGCCTTGTCTCCTTCCAAAGTGAGGCTTTTGAGCTCCTGGACCATGTCGTGGCGGGCCTGGGTTGCAACCAAGGCTGCCCTCACGCATTCACAGAACTTCTGGAGCCCTAGCGCCTCGTCGGGATGCGAAAGGTGGTGCTTGTAGGAATCGAGCGACACGTACGCCGGCGTGGTGTACCTGAAGACCAGCCAATTGTGACGTTCGTCTTTCGAGATGACCCGCCGAAGAATGATATAATGAGACGGTAAGAAGGCATTAGAAGAGTGGGAAAGCACATCGAATCGGAGCCCTAGCAAGGCGTCGTCCAGAGCATCGTACAAGGCGTCGTTGATAGGGAATGCGGTGATGCCGCCGAATCGATGGACACTCTCCACAAGCGAGTATGTGCCTTGGCGAGTGCGTTCCTGGATTGACAGCGACTCGGCAGGCGGCGCAGCTGCTTGAGGGATCAGCAGGGCCGGTTTGAAGTATTGTCGGATGGAATCGTCAAAGCAGTCGAGGGAGACCGTTGGTTCGTCGGGCACGTTTCTGGGCCGGTGTTTCTGGAGATGGTGTTTATTGCTGGCTTCATAAGAGGCGACCTGACGAAACAAAGTATCGTGATTCAGCTGAAGCGGGCCCAAGTCTGCTCTGAGTCCAGCGATCTCAGCCCGTAGAGCGTCGATTTCGCCCTGGACGTCCATGTTGATGTAAACAAGTGCGATCGCAGTGTACCCGATATAGCGACAGACCTTCTGTAGAGGGAAATCGCACGGCGGCAAGCCGAGCCATAAGCCTACCCCCCCTGCTTTAACTTCCTGGACCTTCCGTAGCGGGCAGAATTAGCAACATTTGCAAAAAGGATGCTGGGGAATTAGGCTTAACTTTTTAATTCCTGAGGCAATTAAGCTCTGGTGGATCGCTGTCTAGGGGGCGGACCTTGTGGTGAGGCTGTTTGCGCAACCGTTACCGGCATGGCGGGAGAAACGGCGCAACCATAAAGGGCCAAGCGGACGGTACCAATCGGGCAGGGAAATCGATTTGGCTGCTCTGCATCACTGGACCGGCTGGACGTTTGCTCATTCCACTACTAATAAATTGACTTGTCCGTCTCCGAGGGACCCGGTCCGACAAGGTTGCCCGTTTTGCTCTGGGGGGGACCAGTTCTAACAATAACGCTCGAGCATGGAAGCCCCTCCCCATGCCTTGGCTGCGAAAAAGGCAACCCTCTGCACGGCGCAGCAATCTACAAGACGGTGAAATTTGGGTCCACGGAAATGCGACTGACATTTTTGACAGGAAAAGTGCTGGCCATAGTTTGTGCCAAATAGACGACGGTAGGCCTTTATGTCGTCCGTTTTGTTGTCATATGGCTCAGGCAATGTCTCACACTGCCGCCCTGCCGCGGGATTCTGCTGACCTGTCTGGGTCGCCTTGGGGCTTCTCTTACAGAATGGGGCGGCCGAGCCTTAGCCGTCCTGAAAAACCTCCTTTTGGAAATTCCATATCATGGACCCTGACCAGATGTTCAACAGAAGTATTAAAAAAAAAATAAAAAGAATTCAAATGTCTCCATCGCCTCTGTCTATACGTAGGAGCCGACCATCCGCCCTTGGCCCACTGGTCGTTTACCGCTGAGCAGATTCTCCCTGGCACCAGCATTAACCGCACTGCGCCCTGCAACTCTGTGTTGCGACTTTTTCCACCGCCTGCCGATATAAATCGCCTGCCCTCCGCGCTGATTCGATTCTGCAAAATCCTCTGGCCCAGGCTCCGACGATGCTACGCCTTTTGCTCCTCTCGTTGGCAGCCGTGTCCTCAGCGGCAGGCCTCGATCTCAACGTCTGCTCCCTGCAAAACATCGGTTCCGACCATGCCTCCAACCAGTACATGTCGAATGGCTGGTGCCACAACCATTGTCAGGACGGCGGATATGCCGTCGCTATAACTCAGGAATTCAGCTGCTGGTGCACAAACGATGTGCCTGCTGACACCTCTGACCTGGATAACTGCAACACCGGCTGCCCTGGCTACGCCGAGCAGGAAAACTGCGGTGGTGATGGCTACTACGGTTACATTTTCATCCGAAGTCCGTCCAGCACCGTGGGGCGCCTGTCCTCGACTTCTCTGACGTCAACATCCTCCTCATCCTCGTCAACATCGTCTTCCTCATCGACATCCACATCGTCCTCTTCGGACCCTCCCACAACCTCCACATCGTCCACTCCAACGACATCTTCCACACCATCGCTGACTTCCACATCCTCCACCATCCCTCCCCTGACTTACGAGGAGCCTTCCTACAGCGAACCTACGACTTCAAGCACAAGTTCTTCCTCCTCTAGCTCCAGCACTTCCAGCTCGTCGTCTACATCGACTTCGTCGTCATCTTCATCGTCCTCGTCGTCATCTGCCTCCTCAGAACAGGCCCTGGTGGTCACTTCCGTTCAGGCCACTACCGTCTACTCTACGGCCACAGCAGGTGGCTCTGCATCACAGGTGGTTTCTACCCGTTACATTACGGAAGTTGCATCCACTTCTTCCTCATCGGCCTCGGCTTCGGCTTCGAGTGAAGCTAGCGGTGACGCAAACGGCGAAGAGCAAAAGTCATTTTTTGACTCCACCGGCAAAGTCGCTGGCACTTTCACCGCTGTCGGTGTGGTGGTAGTTGGCGCCTTGGGAACGTTACTATACTGCTGTTGTTTCGGCGCAGGTCGCCGGAACGATGACTACTCTGACGAAGAGAATCAGTACTCTTCGGATGAGCTATCAGTGAACGGCGAGAAGGCTGCGGTGGCTGGGGGAGCTCAGTATCACTCCAAATCCTCGCTGCGCAGCTCAAACCTAAAGAGAGACAATCTGAGCAAGTCGATCCTTTCCATCTTCAACCCGGGCTCGAACGGCATGGCTGGTTCTCATGTCGGCCGCAGCATGTCGAAGAAGAAGCTCAATCCAAATAAGGAGCCTGCTCCGGACACTGGCGGGCCCATCATGTTCCCAATCCTGGAGTTTGACAACCGTTTGGACCCACTGACCATGTTCCAGAACTCCAATGCATCTAAATTTTCCTTTGCCGACGAGAACGACTACTCTCGCCGTATATTGCATGTCGCTAACCCCGAATAGCTGTGCTACTTTGTGGCCCAGCTTTAATTGTTCATTAATCGCATAATACATACATAGCTAAAAAGTCGCTTGTATTTCGTTTTCGTACACATCGTAATCTATGAGTCCTCGGGAACCTTACTAAGATTCTTATAGTGTGGCTGCTTCTCGTAGGCGTTGGGACTCGACTCCCGTGCCTTCTTTTTGCCATGGTTATGGTTATGCTCTTCGTCATGGTCATGATTATGGTTGCAAGGACGGCCCCTCTCATCGCCGCTTTCATCTGATGACGAATCACTCAGCCCGCTATCACTATCACTAGAGCACTCTCCAAACTCTCTCTGTGGGTGAAAAATGCAACAAATCTTTGACTTTTTCTTGTTCATATGCTCATTATCAACTACATCGTCTGTCCAATGCACTTGACTCCTTGATTTCTTCTTCTGCTTCTCTTTTTCGCTTTTTGGTCGAAGCTGTAACACTGGAGCGGGCGCTGCTACCTGCGTCTGCGTTTGCAGCTGTGTTTGTGGTTGTCTTTCTGGCATGCTTAGGTGATAACTGATAGAGTTACAGGATAAGTGATCCTCGAGAAGGTCATGTGACCTCCACTGTTGTTTTCTCGAGCCAACCTTTACTACAAAATTTTCTGTCTAGAGTATTGTCATTTCAGGAGAATGCTGGCCTTATTTCTTTGAGACCAGTTCCAGAATATTCATTACATCCATGGAAACGGAAATGATCCCAGGCACGGTTCGGTTATAGCTTGCTGCGCCTGCAGGAGAAGCAACCCTTGCTGGGCACTCCTCCCCCCTTCACGGCAATTTGTGATCACCAATTCCTGATGGAAGGAAAAATGTCGTCCCCAAAGTTTCACCTGAACCAGCAATCCTCATTGCTCGATTTATTTTTAAAATCACTGCCACATTCATATTTTGCAGCAAGTTGGCCGTGGTCGCGGAATGCTCTTAACCCGACTAGGAAGACATTTGAGAGAGATCGCTTAGGTGAAGATTAAGATCTGTGCAAGGAAATTTTATATACCAATACGGGCCGATCACCCGATCGGGCTTAAGTTTGTATTTTTTGGAAAGGTGTTCTTACTAACTGAGTAATGAGAGGCTTGTAAACGAATTTTGTTTTGCTGAACTGTGGGCTTGTGAGGAAAAAAGGCGAAGGGGCCAAAGCTCAGCCATTTCATACCATACTTTGTTAAAGTTAGCTTCAATTCTCCTCTCTCTCTTACCCCATTCTGGAGAGCAAAAATTAATTGAGATCGAACAAATATTATTCTTTTCCTTTCTGGTCTGTAGATCTTTGTCAAAAAAAGAACTCCGATACGGGGAATCGAACCCCGATCTGCTCGGTGAGAGCGAACTGTGCTAGCCATTACACCATATCGGATTTTATATTTTGAACTTTTTCTGTGAAAATATGAAGCGTTAGTGGGGCATATGAGTCTCACACGACCCAGACCCGTACACCAAGATTGATCCAATTTGTGCTTCCAAGGAACAATAGCATAAAGAGGCTAACAACATAACACTAAGCCTCATTTAATATGCAAAGGAAAAACCAGCGGATTAATTACTACAAAGCAATTCATGGCTACCATTGACCGCAAATCGAGCGGAAAGTTGTATTCAAGGAATTCGATTTAGGGTCTATATTGGGCTAATCTTGGAAGCAAACTCTTTTCCGCTACAAACCACATTTGAATTTCTTTTGTTTTTCATTTGAAAGCTTTGCAACATTCCGTTCGTAGCCTTTAAAGAATATAGTAGTGATTCCATGGACATAGTTAGCGCATTTTGTCTCCATTAGGCGGTAGTTGGTCATCCACCGACTCATACATTTACATGCAATGATAATAACACTCATTGCACCACCATGTATCAAGCGGATACTTTATTCTTTAAACTTAGAGCGTGATTGTACGTACCTACTGTCAAAGTTGATCCATAAACATGGCAAATAAAAACCGGTGGGCCTTTGTGACTTTTCTCAAATCACTTTTGATGAGAAAACTTATCTTGTAAAGTTGTTATCATATGAAAACTACGCGGACTCATTTAATGATTAAAAGCAAATTATTGGATAAACTTGTTATTTCTCCACCCCACTACAACATTGTCTTGTTCCCTTTCTTCTCCCAGTATTTACACACCGTAGAGCAAACTTACAAGTCAATGAGCAATTACAAGCGGGCTTGATGTGCTTTGTCTTAATCTTGCTCTTGACGATGTTGGTGTTGTCGGACAAATGCGGGTTCCTGTGGTCTTGGCGCTCCTACCGTCTGTTCGACAAATTTAACTTTAAACAAACTTTTCCTGGTTTAGCATTCAACATCAAATTTCCATCACACACGGGAACCCTCTTTCCGTATTTTGTGTTGGCATGGTTACCAGAGACCGTCATAAATCCGGTGGGGTACGCATGCAGCCATTCGCCTTCCAATTACCCAAAAAGCCCCTAAGTGCCTACGAGAAAGACGCGAAATGACTACATTCCAGATTGTTTGGCAGATCATTCGGTAGAACAAAAGATTACGATTTTTAGGTACCATCGAATGCATACTACATGTTGCAATTGGCCTCGAGAATGAAAAAAATAATAACTCCGTTCGTTACGAAATGCAATTTGCAGCTCCAGCATCAGCCACGATTCTTCTGAAGGACCGGACTTATAGAGTACTAAAGGCGTCTTATTGCGTCCCTACAGTGAAGGCTTTTTTCACCCACAAGATCTCCACCTCACACTTGCGTCACAGGGTCCAAAAAAAAAAAAAAAAAAACTACCCTCTTCACAAGATAAGATAAGACAAAAATGTTCTATCGAAGGAAAATGACCCTCATTGAAATTTCCGGAGAAACTACGTAGTTGATGGACAGCGCTTGGCTCCATCATAAACACCATCGTTCTCTTGTTTTACCGAGGCCGATCGCATTAACACAATACAATGGCATATTCATTATGTTTCTAGAACGGCGAGGTTGTGTAATCAGCGCAAGTTTCCTTGGTGCATGGAGCCGTGGCAGTCGAGAAAACATGGGTCCACCTTATCGCATCGTATATGTAGCTCAAACCGCAGCGAGATCTCCGACAAGTTCGAATCGTCTCACTTCCTGTGGACCGATTGGCCTTTGCAGGGCGCCACACATTTAGTAATTGTCTCGCGACCACTATTAGACCGGAACTTTTATGTTGCGAGGGTTACGTCAACCAAGAATTCGTGGCTAGCCAAGCATTTACCCTCAGGCCCACCTCCATAAAGGGCAACGTCATATGGCCCATTATACGGTTCCCCAGTCTGCTGGGGCGGGGCATACCAGGAGGGGGAACTATACTGCCTGTCTCAATAGACAATGAACAAAGCAGCTGCTTTTGATTGACGTGCCAGCGGTGGTTGCTCATGTCGTTCCGGCCATCTCGAGAGATGATTGGCTAGGGGAGCTAAAATCGAGCTAAATTCGTCAATTTTTTTTTTTTTTTTTTATAGAATGTATTAGCAGGGCACTTCTAACAGAGGATTCTCCATTAGGAGCCAAAACTATATCGCTATAGAAACACAACCCACTAATCAAGCACCCAAATATCTTCCTCCTACCAGAAAGGCGCGACAGACTTCATCCTGAACTTCAGGCCCTGATCCGTCTAGAGGAAGGTATTTGTTTGTTGGTATTGTCTCATCCCCACACGTCACCTACCCATTGGCAGAATTTGTCGTATGGTTTTCTTCATCTCACGAATCAGAAAGACGGACAATTGTCCCCCTTCTGCTTCAGTTCGTCTTTTGGGTTTTTGTCGTTTTCGCCGGGAAAGTGTGATCAGTAGCATGCTAAAAAACTATCAGGAAGGTCAATTTTCTCGATTTCGCGGATTCGGCTGCTTTGGTGGATATATAAAACCCGCGATTCTTTCATGCAGATATCCTCTCGGTGGCCAAGCTGGCTAAGGCGCGAGACTGTAATGTGATTGTAATCTTGAGATCGGGTGTTCGACTCACCCCCGGGAGATATCCTCTAGCCTTTATGGCCAAGTTGGTAAGGCACCTCACTAGTAATGAGGAGATCGTCAGTTCGAATCTGGCTGAAGGCATCATTTTTTACCTCTAGGAACCCTTTCTATTTTTGCGATGTCTCGGAATACACCCTAATGTGTAACCCGTTTACCACTTCCGACGCACGTCAACGCCAAGTGGACGCCATTGCGTCGCGGAGATGGAGCAGATGACTTCGGCACTGATACCGAGGAAGGATGGCCCCGTATCTGCAGGAGGACAAGGAAAGTACGCACAGGCTCCCAATTCTTTTTTTTCTTGCCGCACTTTTACAGCACAATCTCGCTCGTGGTAGCCTGTCCTGTTTCTTTTTTTTTTCTTGACCTTGGGGTGCCCACATTTTAAATTTCCTTACCACATGCAGGACATTTACTTGGCGGAAAACTTCTTGGCAAATGTAATAATCAAATGACCCTCTGCCACAGCCTACCTCCATAAATATAACTCTCGCACCGTTCGCAAACCCGTCATATCTTAAAGGTTTTTTTTCTTTCCTCGTTTACCCAACCGCACCACTCACTAGTATTATCTTCCCCAGCAGACCCTTTATCGTGACTACCGATACGGCTTGCTGCGAAATATAAATACACAAGAAAAAGAACATCCCCCCTACCCACCCCAAAGATGTCACTGAACTACAACCTCCATCCAGTGACTTATTTGAACGCTACAGCTGAAAAGGTGATGGACTCTGAAGTCGACTTTGACCTCGACGCTGTTTCTGACGCTGTTTCCACAAACTCCCCAACTACTCAGTCTTCTAACGGCTCCCCACAAACTTCCTTTACATCCCAGTCTTCCGCCAACTCCCCTGTGCTGCAGACCTCCTCCTTTGGCAAGGAATTCACCAACGCTCACTTCGGCGCCCGTGCTACCGGCTTTGCCGGTACCGCTTTCGAGCCGGCAATGAAGCAAGATGCTCATCAACTGAACCACACCCATCCACACAACCATGCCCACGCTC